GCCGCCCGCCGGGAAGCGGCGCCGGGCCTCTGCCGGCCAGGGAGACGGGCCTCCACCCCCGCAGCTCCCGGCCTTTCCTCCCCGTGCGCCCAGCCCTTCCCCCGCGCCGTCCTTCCGCCGGAGCGAGGCCGAGGCCCGGGCGCAGGGAGGGCCCTGCCGGGACAGCAGACTCGGGTCCCCAGGCCCCGGCCCGCCGCTTCCTCTCGGCCCGCCGGCCCCGTGACCCTCACGTGACCTGACACCCTCTGAGCTCTTGGGCTTAGGAACAGGGCAGAACGGAAGGCTCGAACCCTTCTTCTGCAGCTCCCATCCCTCCCTGGTCTCTCTTAGATGACCCCACTGCTTTAACCGTGCTTGGTTCCTGACTGCCCCTGCAGAGCTTCTAACGCGGGGTGTAGACCCTGGGAGCGGGGCGTCGGGGACGCGGTGCAGGAAGGGTGTCGTGCACTTCCGAGGTCACGGGCAGCGTTGTGGGAGGCGGGGGTGGTGTGTGTGCAGTTTCCTGGAAGAGTCCTTGTTTTTACCAGCTTCTCTCAGGTGGCGCCGTCCAATAGGAATATTATGCGAGTCACATATGTGATTTTAAAAGGGAAAAGAAACAGGTCAAATTAATTTAGTAATATATTTTATTTAACCCAATATGTCTAAAATTTGGTTGTTTCAGCATGTAATCAATATAAATAAATTTAATATTTTATGTTCTTTTTTCCTACGAAGTCTTTGAAATTCGGGGTGTGTTTTCCATTTACACTGCATCCCGTTGGGACTGTCCACATGTCCAGTGCTCCGCAGCCGAGTGTAGCTAGTGGCTGCGTGCTGGATGGCTAGGTCTAAGGATTTCACTCCTGGCCCACAGGCTGGAGTCCAAACTCATGGCCGTGGTATTCAGGGTTTTACACAATCTGGCCTCATTATCTTTTTTTTTTCTCCCACTTTCACGAGGATGGTTATACCCTCACCACCCATAAACACTTGCCATTTCCCTGCACACCTTTGTTCAAGCTGTTCCTTCTACCTGGAATTCTTTCTCTACACTCTCTCCCTGAGCCTAGGAGGGAGGGACAGCTTCTGCTAAGAGGCTTTTCCTGACTCCCCTAACCCGGGAAGGGATTTATCCCTCCTTCCTCATTGTTCCCCTGTGCTGTACTCATGGCTGGATTAGAGCCCTTATCAAAGGGCGTTTGTTTTCGAGGCTGTGTCCATGGCCTGTGTAGTGTCCCTTTATCTTTGTTTTGATCGTGGCTGGCACCTAATAGTTGATGAGTAGATGTGTGCAGACAGAATGAGTAAATCACTAAGCAGCTGTGCTCAGTCTCTTAATTTTCAAACGGAGCTGCTACTTTCTTGTTTAGGAGCTTTGTGCCTGTTGTTCCCCTTGTGCATGTACACACACACACACAGATGTAGTAACTAACCATAAGGAAGGCATCTCAAGGTGTGCACAGAAGAGTATCTTCTAGCTTTTACCCCCTCTCTATCTTAGAGACGGGAAAACTGAGGTACAGAACTAAGGACAGCCAGCAAATTTGCATCAATATAAATACAAAGAAAGGGAGCATTCTTGAAAGGAGTATGTGGTCTCAGAGGGTCAGGTCCCTCAGATGGTTAGTGATCAGCTGGCCCACTTTGGTCATTTGATAGGAGGGAAGAGAAGTGGAGAGGTGAGGAGTTCCTCCTGGACCCTGATGAGGATTCTAGGCAGGTTCAGGTCTGGAAAGCTGAGGGTGTCATTGCTGGAGGAAGAAGTCAAAAAGCAGAACTGTCATCTCAGATCAGGAAAAGTGCTGGCCTGGGAAGAGTAGGAGAGAGCGAGGGTAGGGTAGAAGGACGGGCAAGGAGAAGCTAGCAGAGGGAGCAAAGGAGTAAGCTCCTTGGTGAAGGTACTGGTGTGACACATTGGCAATAACCACTTCTTAGAGAGCAGTGCCATTCTCAGTCTGTAGAATGGGAAATGGAAAGAATCAGAGCTTCAGAGAAGGCAAGTGACTTACCCAAGGTCACACAGTGCTTTAAGCCCAAATGAAAACTCATAAGCCCTCCTTTGCCACACTTACCCAGCCCCACTCACACATCTGTTACAACCAGGGGCCCCAACATGGTGCCTAGAAGAACAGGTCTGGGGCACAGGGCCGGGCCTGATTAATGTCTTCCTCGCTGTCTTCTACCAAGGAGCTCTGATTAGGCCTATTTATAGGGGCCTGGCACCTTAACATTCTGCCTGGTGCGTCTCTTGCCAATCAAATCAGTGCCATCTGCAGTGATTGCTGCTTTAGTGGCAACAGGGAGCGGAGTTAATTAAACCCAGTATAAATAGACTGTGCCCTCATCTTGCAATTCAAAGGAGTGTTTTTTCTTCCTGTCCTCTGCCCCCACAGGCCCCTTCTTCCTCCTGGCCCCCCTTGGCTCTAGCCTGGGTGAGCAGAGCCGGACGCTCCTATACCTAGAGTCACCAGCCACGGCCTGTCCTAACACAGGAACAGGCCAAAGTAAGAACCACCCAGGAGTCCACATGTTCTGTGCTTTTCCAGAGCCAGGTACCATTTGGAAGTTGAGGCAGGCAATTTTTGCCCCATGTCCAACCCTCTGCTTCCAGCCTCTTTTTCACTGTGCAGCCAGGGTTTCTTTCTTGCTCACCCGGGCTTGGGAGGTTGAAATGAGATCACACACAGAAATGGTACCACGCGCCTTAGGGCAGTCAGTCCATGTTGCACCTTCTCTGAACGCTTCTCGTCAGTCTCTGCTGTCCCTGCCAGTTTTCCTCCCTCATTCACGCAACAAGCACCAACAGACTACCTGCCCTGTGAGCTCCTGGCCTCCCACCAAATGCTCTGTCCCCCACTCTCCCGCTGCACGGGCCGAACCTGCGGCAGACGGTTAGGGCGAGGGGCTGTGCTCTCTTCTCCCGGTACCTTGCCCTGTGGTGGGTGGGTGTGGGTGAGTGTGGGGCAGTCCTGATGCTCCCGTTCCCACCCACAGGCACCATGACTCCCATGAGGACCCAGCACTCGTTGGCAGGTCAGACCTATGCGGTGCCCCTCATCCAGCCGGACCTGCGGCGAGAGGAGGCCATCCAGCAGGTGGCGGATGCCCTGCAGTACCTACAGAAGGTGTCTGGAGACATCTTCAGCAGGTGGGTGCTGCCACCCACCTTCACCGATCGGAGGGCCGCCCCTGCCTGGGCAGCCATCTCTCCATTCCCAGGAATGCCCCCTCTAGGAACAGCCCTTTGGGTGATTCTCGGTCCTAGGGGACCCAGCTGGCTTCCCTGTGCCCAAGGGGCGCCCAGCTTAGAACTTTGTCTCGTAAGAGCTCACTACCTACTGCACCACTTAGCCCCCTGGCTTCCCTGCAGATCCCCAGGCCCCATGGGGGTACTCCTCTCCCAGCTCATACTCTTTCTCCCAGTGGGGGCCCTGTTCCTTCACTTATTCCCCTGCCAGCAAACACTTATTCAGCACTTCCTGTGTGCCAGGCACTGTGCTCACCTCTGTAGTCACAGCAGTGGATACGGCCACATCCTGTCCTGCCTGAGGATGGACCCTGGCAGGAGAGACAGACTCTGTCCAGTCAACTTCATGTTAGTCATTGAATTACAGCTGTGATAAGACGGATTTATAATAATTTTGTGATAACTAATATTTATATAGCATTGACTGTGTGCCCCCAATGATCGGAGTGCATTAACTCATTTAACCCTCACAACAACTACGAGGAGATGCTGTTGTTATGTCCATTTTATGGATGAGGAAGCTGAGGCACAGAAAGGCTAAGAGACCAGCCCGGGGGCAGAGCCAGGGGTCACACCCGGGTGTCGTGGCTCCCGAGTCTGGAATTATTACTGCCTCTCTGTAGAAGACAGTTGTCAACGGGGCGCCTGACCTGGCATGGGGGGTCAGGGAAGGAATATATGGAGAAAACATGTATGGTAAAATCTGAAGGGTAGGTGGGAGTTACTGTGAGTGGGTAGGTTCCAGAAAGAAAGTGAGGCATGAGGTAAAGCCCTGAGGTGGGAAGGACCTGAATGGCAGCCAGTGTGGCTGGAGCGAGGAGGGGCTGAGGGGGTGCGTGAAGCTGGTGAGGTGGGCAGGGCCTTAGAGGTTATGGCCAGTCTTGAGCAGAGTGGCAGCGTTTTGTGTCACCAGCACTGATCTAGCACAGTCCTTGGGCTATAATGATTTTTCATTCCATGTTTATTTTATTTTATTTATTTTTGTGAGGAAGATCAGCCCTGAGCTAACATCCGTGCTAATCCTCCTCTTTTTGCTGAGGAAGACCGGCTCTGAGCTAACATCTATTGCCAATCCTCCTCCTTTTTCCCCCCAAAGCCCCAGTAGATAGTTGTATGTCATAGTTGCACATCCTTCTAGTTGCTGTATGTGGGACGCGGCCTCAGCATGGCCGGAGAAGCGGTGTGTCAGTGCGTGCCCTGAATCCGAACCCGGGACGCCAGTAGCGGAGCGCGTGCACTCAACCGCTAAGTCAGGGGCCGGCCCCCTGTTTATTTAATATGAATGAATGGTGTTGCTGTTTCCTTGCAAAGGTCCCGCATTTTGTCCTGTATACAGGTCCATAAGCAACCTGAGATGGGGCTTAGAGCTTCTCCTTGCTGGGGGCCCACGCCATGCCTCACCAGGGGTCTTTTATCCCACCCAGTGGGAAGCATTTGACTGCCTGACTGAGGTCCCTCTCATGTGTGGCCTAAGTCACCCCCACCCTCCCCTGCCTGTACCAAGATAGGAATGCTTCATGCAGTCTCCTCCTTCACCAGTCGTTCGTCCACCTCTTCCTGGAAGCCTTCCCCAATGGGAGTAGAACGCAGGGTCACTGTCTCCAGTTGAACTCGGTACAAACACTAGATCCTCTGACTCTTCTGCCTCTGACCTGCCCACCAACACACCCGCCTGCCTTAGCCTCTGCAGAATGTAAACGTAACCAAGGGGCAATGCCCCAAAGTGGTTAAGAGGTGACTCTGGAGCAGCCTGCCTGGACGCAGGCTGGCTCCATTTGCTGGCTTGTAACCTGGGGCAAGTTACTTAACCCCTCTAAGCCTCACCGTTCTCATCTATAAAACAGTGATAATAATGGTGCCTTCCTCATTGGGTTGTTGTAAAGATTAAGTGAATTAGAACTTGCAGGGGAATTAAGGTGCCTGGCATAAAGCAAGCATTCAGTAAGTGTTCGCTCTTCTCATCTGTGGACATCATCTCTGCTTATTGGCTGCCTAGGGTGGCCCTCCATTAACCTGCTATCAGTATAGAAAGTGTTACGTGCCCTTTTGTACTAAATATGCCCAAGCAATGCCTAAGCAAGAGGACACAGGCCTTCAAGAGCCATCAGTCCTGGATTATGGCTGCCCCGTGCCCAGAGATTGAGATGCATGCCAAAAACACTCCATCAGAAATATTTGTTTCCTCGCCAGGATCATGACTGCATGCTTGCCTTCTCTGAGGGAGCCTTGGATTTTTAGCATACTTCCCTTTCCCTTGCTGGTTTTTGGCACCTGTAGACAGTTTCGTGTCCCCTGCCCATGGATGGGATGAGGCCAGGGCCGGAAGGCCATCTCGTGGGGAGGGAGTGGTGTTAGTTGAGCATGGGTATGGGCCCTCCAAATGGCTAGGCCTGGCGCAGGGAGGGCAGGATGCCTCAGGAGCCCGGTCCCTGAGTCCAGGCTCCCCTCACAACCGGATTCCAGGTCACCCAGTTGACCTCCCACATGTGCCCAACACGTTGGACCCCGAGGGCTGCTGGAGATGTGAACAACATGGTTCCTGTCCTCAAGGATCTTAGAGGCTAGAAGGGGAAAGCAGTAGAGCTAGGTTGATTCTTAACTGCATAGCATGAACTGTGGGGGCTTCTAGGGATCTAGAGAAGAGAGAAATAACTAAGAATGGATGGCACATTTATCAATCAGAACTCTCCAAATCTGGGGCCGGCCCGGTGGCGCAAGCAGTTAAGTGCCTGCGCTCCACCGCGGCGGCCCGGGGTTCACCAGTTCAGATCCCGGGCGCCCACTGGCGCACTGCTTGGGAAGCCATGCTGTGGCGGCGTCCCATATAAAGTGGAGGAAGATGGGCATGGATGTTAGCCCAGGGCCAGTATTCCTCGGCACAAAAAAGAGGAGGATTGGCAGATGTTAGCACAGGGCTGATCTCACAAAAAAAAAAGAAAGAAAGAAAAAGAACTCCGTAAATCTCTGTAAGCAAAAAGGAACCAACTGGTAGAGCAGGCTTTGCAGTTGTAGGGCTGAAATGTCGTCAGAACCTGATTTTTCTCTCATTCCATCCCAGCTTGCTGCCGCCGGGCTGGCCCCATCCCAGGCAGGCCTTGCTCTTGTGGTGGCCAGGTAACCAGCAGGCCCGAGCTCACGCACTCAGGTTCAGGTCCAGCAGGAAAGAGTGCTCTCCTCCGTGTCAGCATTTCCTCGGAAGTCCCGTTGCCCCCTCGGCCTGGCTTTGTTCTCATGTCTATCCCAGAGCTGACTGCTGGGGCCGGGGACAGGACATGCTGACTGGCTTAGACTCTGGTCACATGCGTCACCCCTAAGCCCTGGGTTAGGCCCATCTGAAGTGCAGGGTCCGAGCCCGTGGGAGCAATGGAGTCCCTGAAGGAAAGGGGGGCCCTTCGTTGCATAAGGAGGAAGTAGATGCTAGAGAGGAAAACCACACGCCTGCCACACAGAGTCAGGGAAGGCCTGCCGAGGGAGAGGGGCATGAACTAGGCCAACCAGGGATAGGCTGTGGTGAGGCAGGGTTAGGAAGGTGGCGTGCAGGTCATCTGGTGGGGGCTAGAAATCGGTGCCATAGGCCCCGAGGCCTGAACATGGAGCATGTGTATCACAGGCTCCCCGGGGAAGGCCGGCCTGCACGCACTGCTTTTGTACTGGGGTACAGACAGTGCTGCCTGTCCCATATGTTCAGCGCCTTCACAGCAGAACAGGGTGTGAAAAGTCAACTTTCCGTGTCTGTGGGCCTTGCCTCCCCCTCTGAGTGTGCGCCCTTGGGAGTCGGCCTCTCGCTTCTTTCTGCCCTCCACAGTGCTGTGGGCGTGCTCCACAGCAGGAGTGGCAGGGGGTGGGTGAGTGAAAAGTGGATACGTTAGGGCCCGTGGGGCTTCTCCTAACAGGACAGAACTTGGAGCTTGATTCAGGAGTTTTAGGGGACCACGATAAGGGTCTTGAGCACGGAAGTGATGGACAGAAGAGTTTGGGGAAGATGTGTCAGGCAGCCAGCACAGAGTGGATAGGATGGGGAGGGTGGGTTCCAGGGACACGCTGGGAGCTGTTCCTGTAGTGGGCATGGACGGGAGGAGCTGCAGTCCAGGGGAGCTGCAGGCAGGGAGGGCTGGAGAAGAGAGATTTCAAAGGGAACCATGACAGGACCCGATGACAGATTGGGAACAGGATGAAGGAAAGGGAGGCGGCAGAGATGACCTGGAGTGGGGATGGGGCGTGCTAAGACCTAGCCACGGTCGCCTGCCCCCCATCTGGCAGCGGTCCTGAAGCTGGGGGCTTTTCATGTTTCATGGGCTTTTGAGTTGGGGATGTGACCCCAGTTTGGAATCTCCCCCCTTAAATGTGCTCCTCCTGCTTGGCAACCTCTCGCAAAGAAGAGACAGATGGGTAAAGAAGAGACACTTTCTATCTCTCCTTTCCACTGCTCCCCCATTTCAGGCCCAGGCCTGGGCCCCTCGGCCCCCCTGGAGCCTGTGCCCAGTTCCGCAGGTAGGTGAGCTCATGGAAAATTAGCATTCCAAGCTGGTAGTCCTTCCTCCTGCTCTGCCGCAGCGCCACACAGGGCCTAGAGAGAATGACAAATACTTCTCAGGCTCCCTTCCGTCCTCTCCTTCCAGCCCCCTCCCTGGCTCCTCTTCCTGCCTAGCAGATCTCCTCGGCCCTCACCTGTCCCCGTCCTCACCTGGGAGAAGCCAGCTGCTTCCCATGACTTAGATGAGGAGGAGACTTAGATGAGGAGGAGACGGGTGGCAGTGGCCCAGGGAGAGGAGCTAGGTGAATTCTGGGTGGGAGTTGGGATCTGTCCAGCTCCGTCCTCCTGAGGAAGGGGTCATTTTCTCTGCCAGAGTTCTTCCTTCCTTTTTCTTTCCACTTCCTCCCTCTTTCCTTCTTCTCCTCTTCCTGCTTTTCCTCCTCCTTCTTCCTTCTTTTCCCCTGCCCACACTTCCCCCTTTTCCTCACTTCCTCCATCCTTCCCTCTCTCCCTGCTTTCTCTCCACTGATTGGCACCTGGTGACTCCCAAGGTTAGGAAGCGCTCCATTAGCTGCCTACATAATTAGCAGATCATTCCTAATTATCCCAGTGAGCGAAGATAAGGGTGAAGGCAGGACAGGCAAGGGAGGGGCGGCAGCAATGATGGGTCGGGAGGGGGATCCCTCCTCCCCAGCAGCCTCTCTGGGCTGGCATGCTGAGGGGCCATGGCAGCCATGCAGGGGCCGGGGGCCTGCCTTGCTTCACAGGAAACCTTCCCATAAGGGAATGGGGGTCAGCTTTGGAGGTGGTGCCCAGGCCCTCCTGCCACCCTGTCCCCCTCCCTCTCCCATGCCAGGAAGAGTGGTCCCTACAGGGCCTCCTCGAACACCTCCCACGCCAGCCAGGGGAGTTGCTCACTGTTGCTCTGCGCTCCACCCTCCATAGTGTTCTCTTGCAAAGTCCTGTTCCCTCGGCCTGGAACTTCCTTGTCTGCTCAACACTGCCTCTTCTTGCTTTCCTCTGAGTGCCTGCAGCCCCTCCTCCCTCCCAGTCTTATGGGCAGTAATAACAGATGTGAACTGAGCACTCAGGACATTCCGCTAGTACAGGAACACTAGCCATACATCCACTCATGTTAACCTTTACAATAATTCCACGATAGAGAAGTTACTATTCCTATTTCTCAGCTCAAGGAGCAGAGGCATAGGCCAATTAAGTGACTGGCCCAAGGTCACACTGCTACTAGATAGATGTTAAGACCGTGTCTGTGGGACACTGTAGTTACTTGTCTCCCTGGTAGACCAGAATCTCCTTGAGGGCAGAAGTGTGTGCTCTGATTCCTCTCTGTCCCAGCGCTGAGCAGACTGAGTGAGCCAGTTCCATCTCTGACGCTGAGGGAGGCAGCCCCTCCTCTGCTGGTGTCTGGGCAAATGTGCTACAGAGACGTGACCTCAGTGACGAGCTTGGAAACCTACCTACCTTGAAGCAGGCCATCAAGCCAGGGGGTCTAGATGAGGAAGGACTAACAAATTGCCCTCTTGCCACTGTCCCCCTGCCCTCAAAGTGGACATTGCTAATCAGTCATGGCACTCAGTCCTGCCCCAGTGTGGCCTAACAGTCCTTCCTAACACAGCCTTCCGGACTGTTGCTGCCAGTCGGTAGAAATGGCAGACGAATTGAAAGCTCGCTCTCATCCGTGGTCAGTACCCTCCTCAGCATCGTGGCACGTGACTATGACTAAAGGATTAGACTCTCTGGGGGCTTAGTCAACAAGCAAGCCATTACCTAGACTTAAAGGCTCTTGGATAAGAAAAGAACCCTGGAAATCATGTCTTCCATTCCCCTGGCCCACACAGAATCTTCCTTGGAGCATTCCTGACAGGTGATCATCCAGCTGAAATCTGATTGCTTTGCAAAGCTGTGCAGCTGTTGACTAGAAAGTTCTCTTTATGCAGAACCAAGATCTGCTTCCTTGCAACTCCACCCGCTGGTCCTAATGGAGCCCTCTGGGGTGACAGAGAATAAGTCTAATCGCTTTTCCACCTGACAGCACTTGTGATATTTTCGATATTTGAACGGAATTATATTTTCTGGGTCATCTCATGTGTAGGCAGAACATCCTTCAGTTATCTTTGTATGACGAGTTCTCACTCATCGCCATCCTCATCACCCTCCTTTGGACGTTGGTTAACTTGTCATTCTGTTCAGCCAGTATTTGTTACAGGTCAGGCACTGTCCCAGGTGCTAGCAATGTGACAGTGGATCAGACAGACTCTATAGTCTAGAAGGGAATCCAGAGTCCTCTGAAAATGCAGGTCCAGTTTAAAGGGGACACAGCCGTGGATGAGACTGGTGCCTGGCATAGATTAGCTCGTTAACCCAGGGCTCTGTTTTCTCTGTAGTGCCTCCAAAAGAGTGGATGTTCCCTATTTATTGAAAGAAGGCAGGAGACGGACAAGGAGCTGTGTGCCCTAAGATCGCATGTCTTTTTTAGGCTGCTTATCCTGCTTTTAGCTCATACTGAGCTTATGGTTAACCAAAACCTCAGATCTTGCTTCACCTGAACTACTGCTAAACCTCCAACTGTATTTGTGCACTCGACTTCTTAAACCTAAAGGCTGGGCTTCGCATTCATTGCTTGTCAGTTTCATTTTGTTGATTGCAGTCCATCCTTCTGGCCTCTAGAGATTATTTGAGTCTTGATTCCATCACACAAACCACTTTGACCCTCCCCCCACGTGCCAGGCTGCAGTCAGTCCATTCTTCAGCAGTGCCCTTCGGTGCTGTTGTTCATCTGGCTCTGATGCACTCTCCTCCAACCCCCATGGCCCCATCTTGTCCACAGGCTTTTGTGAGAAGCCGTCAGAATCCTTGCTGATTCAGGATGCACCATGTTTAAGGCTTTCCCTTGATACACCAGTCTAATAACCCTGTCAAAGAAAGAAATGCTGTGAATTTAGAACAATGTTGGCCCCTGGGATCCGCCTCTTCCTTTTCAAAGTGCTTGCAGACCCTCAATTTAATAATCCATTCTGGAAATTTGCCAGGGTTCACTGTTAAACTTGATGTTTGCAACCTCTGAGAAATCAGCCCTTCTCTCGTTGATGGAAGAACCAGAACAAAGCAGCCTCTGTCCATCTCCGGTTCTGATGTCCCTCCCACTCTCCATGTCAACTTGGAGTGGAGTGGTTACGTAACCACTGAGGTTGCTTCAGCACCCAGGGGCAGAAAGTGGCTGAGCTGGGGACTGGAGGAAGCACATTCCACTCAGGTTCCCTTCCCAGTGGATGAAGACCTTGCTCTCTGCCAGAAAAGGCGGAGCTCAGGCCCATTGAGTGGTTCTGCCTTCTCTCACTGGGAGGAAACTGTCCTCCTGTTCTGTCTGCATTGCTGTCCCACTCAGACCAGCCTGTCAAGGACAACTGAGCTGCTCCGGGTGCCTGCTTGTACCCCGGACCCCTCCTCACCAAGCCCCCTGCCCTAAGCAGCCAGGAGTAATCAGGGAGACTTCCCTGGGTATGGAGACCCCTAGGTTGTGAAACTGGCTGATTGGTGGGTTCTCTGGGGGCCAAAACCTTCTCAAATTAGTGGGGGTGGTTTAGGAAGGTTGGGCTGGAGTCTCGACTGTTCATTTCAACCTTTAAAGAAATCCCAGAGTTCCCTGGCCCTGTAGTCTCTGACCCCATAGTGGGGCCCCTCTGTCACCCACCATATCCTCCTGCCCTTCCCCACGAAGTAGACTGGTAATCCTGCCTCCTTGTTTCTCATGCCTCATCGTGCGCTCACTCCTGCCCGTTGAATGCAGAGATGTGACCGCTCTGCGTGTGGAATGTGGTGGGCATGGGCGGGTGCTGGTGTTCTTGGAGGTAGGGGAGCCCGTGGGAGGACGCCCTGGCACATGTGTGAGCCCAAGTCCCCTTTGCAGTGAGAAGACACTTGCTGCTGCTGAATACTGTGGCAAAAGCTAAGTAAGGCTCACGTCATTTGCATGTAGGACACATGGGTCATTCAGCAACCACAGAGGGAGTGCCTGGCACTGTGCCAGGCGCTGGGAGTCCAGCAGGGAACAAAGCAAAGCCCTCACCCCCAGAGCACACAGAGGCCTGGATGCATAATGTCCAGTGGCTGTAATGTGGAAGGGGGTTGGAAAGGAACAGGTGCAATTTTGGGTTCCATCCTCGAGAAGGCTTCAGTGAGGAGGCAGCTCAGTGGAGTGAAGGAGGCAGCCATGTGGATATCTGGGGGACGGCACCCCATTTGATGCAAAGGCCGTGTGACAAAGATGGGTTTGGCACATTCAGGGAATAGCAGGGCGCTGGTGTCGCTGGGGCCTCCAGATCTGGGCTAGGGGGAATGGCAGCCTGTGAGCAGCCAGACCACAATCATGAGAACCACGGTGAGGACTTGGGATTTACCTTCACGAGCCATTTATTATGTGTCAGGGCAGTTCCTTGTGAATAGGTCTAGGACTTGAACTTAGACCCATCCTTGCCTGTCACTCAACCTTGCTGAACTCTGGTATCCTCATCTGTAAATAGGTGACTACATACGTGTAAGGCAGGAGTCTGTCTCTGCTTGCGGCTATCAACAAAATCCTGGAGGCAGGAACCATGTCCTTCAGACGGCACATACAGGCGCTAACCTGGGGCCAGGGTATTGCCCCTCCCTACCCAGCACTCCAAGGAACTTCATACTGTTCATTCCTAGACCCTTCAGGGTGGATGATCCTTGTAGAGGTCACCTGGGCAGGATGGGTCCTGACAAGCAGGTAACACTGTGTTTTAAGAGCCCTTGCCCAAGCCCCTGGCTCTGCAGGTTTGCTGTCAGAAGCAGGAGGGGTGCAGGAGGCTCCAGCGCTTGGGGAGCAGCCCCCAGCCCCTGTGATCTTTTTCCGTGGCAGGATCTCCCAGCGAGTAGAGCTCAGCCGGAGCCAGCTGCAGGCCATTGGGGAGAGGGTCTCCTTGGCCCAGGCCAAGATTGAGAAGATCAAGGGCAGCAAGAAGGCCATCAAGGTAGCCCATGGGGCCCTGTGTCCCCATGGCTGGGGGGCTGCCCCAGAAATCCCATTCCCTACCATCTCCCCATGCCTCTGAGGTTGCCCAGGTCCCTGCCTCCGCTATCCAGCCACACCTCAAGCTTTCTTCCTGCCTAGAATCCCCCCAGCCCACCCCTAGCTCTCTGGAGCTCCTCGGGCCCCTGAAGAAGCGATCTCAGACCCTCCCTGTGTCCACAGGTGTTCTCCAGTGCCAAGTACCCAGCTCCAGAGCACCTGCAGGAGTATGGGTCCATCTTCACGGGGGCCCAGGACCCTGGCCTGCAGAGACGCCCCCGCTACAGGATCCAGAGCAAGCACCGCCCGCTGGATGAGCGGGCCCTGCAGGTCTGAGGGGCACACGCAGCTCACACACTTACAGGGAGTGACCAGTGCTGGCCCTGGATGTTGGGGAGGAACTGAGGGCCCACCATAGTCTTCTGTTCCCCAAGAGGATTCTGACAGGGATGGGGTGGAGGTCACTTTGGCCTGGCGCTGAAACTCACCATCCCTCTGTCACTTCCTCCCACCCCCCACCCCCACGCCCCAGGAGAAGCTGAAATACTTCCCTGTATGTGTGAACACCAAGCTGGAGCCTGAGGATGAGGCTGAGGAAGGGCTCGGGGGTCTTCCCAGCAACATCAGCTCCGTCAGCTCCTTGCTGCTCTTCAACACCACTGAGAACCTGTATGGCCAGAAGGCAGGGCTGTGGAGGGATGGGTGGGCGGCCTGGCCTGGTTTAGTTGGGGAGCCAGGGGGCATCAGAATCAGGGGCAGCAGAAGTCTGCAGCCTGGGGACCCAGGAGCTGACCAGTTTGGTTTGCCTTGTAAGGCCTGGGAGTCCACACTACAAACTAGTTGTGACCTCTGGTGAAGTGGGGAATGTGGGTCAGGGCCATGGACCTAGAACAGATGACGGGTTGCCTGACCTCCACCCCATCTCTGTAGGTACAAAAAGTATGTCTTCCTGGACCCCCTGGCTGGAGCTGTAACAAAGACCCACATGATGCTGGGGGCGGAGACGGAGGAGAAGCTGTTCGATGCCCCTCTGTCCATCAGCAAGAGAGAGCAGCTGGAGCAGCAGGTAGAGGGATGTCACTTGGGTGGGGCCCTGCCAGCCTTCTCTAGGCAAGGGGGCCTGTTGGGCCCCTTGTCCCGCCCAGCTGTGCATGGGTGTGCACAAGGCCCCGCCGACTGCCCCAAGGCCAAACTGCAGGGCCCACGTCCCCTACAGCCCTCCCTCCGCTCACATACCCCTACCTAACCCTGCAGGTTCCAGAGAACTACTTTTACGTGCCCGACCTGGGCCAAGTGCCTGAGATCGATGTCCCATCCTACCTGCCTGACCTGCCAGGCATTGCCGATGACCTCATGTACAGCGCCGACCTGGGCCCTGGCATTGCCCCCTCTGCCCCTGGCCCCATTCCAGAGCTGCCCACCTTCCACACAGAGGTCGCCGAGCCTTTCAAGCCAGGTGAGCTGGGAGTGGGAGTGGGGTGGGAGCTCCCCTGCTCGGCCACTTGCTTCCCTAGGCACCTCCCACTTTCTCACACTTCTGTTTCAGACCTACAAGATGGGGTGCTTACAGCACCCCCACCCCCGCCACCGCCACCGCCGCCTCCCCCAGCAGTGCTAGTCAGTGCACCCCCACCCCCAAGTGTGGCCTCTCCTGGCAAAGGCACCGGGGACGATGACAGCAGAGATGGCGTGTCTCCCTCAGGTAGGAGCAGCCCCAGAGCGTGTTGGGTTGGGGGTGTGCTTTCTTTGAGGAATCTTCCGTCTAATTTCTGGATCCCTGAAGGATTTTCTGTAGGTTTAAGTGATCATAAATTTTCAGAATAGTCCTAATTTCAAAATCTTGTTTCACTGGGTTCATAAAATAGTGGTTTGCAAAGTCTGTAGAGCCCCAGAACTCTGATCTCCAGGGTGGAGGGAGCCTGGACAGGTGGAGCTGCAGGTCCCCCATTCCCACTTAAACCAATGGAGAAAAGGGGGCTGCTGAAAAAATTGAAACCTACAGCAACAAAACATCCATCTGTCCCTTAAACTGCAGACTTGCAGTGTTTGTTAATATTGTATCTCCCAGTCTGTCTCCAGCACCCAGATCCTTGGATAGCAAAGAAACCTCTTGTTGGCTAACATGTCAAGTTGACACCTGGATATATTCCCAGGGTCCACCTTTGCAGGGTGGGGTTGGAGAGGGACTAGGTGCCCGGACACACAGCTTCCTGAACTCAGGCGGGCAGTCAGCATCCAGGCCCTGCAGTCTCCGAAGGCCCGGCTTCTCCAGCTGGCCTCTTTCAAGAGGAAGAACCCTTCCTCACAGCCAGGCTTTTGAGGGGAGGCCTCTGGAACCCAAGACCCTTAGGCTGGACAAAGCTCGCTGCCTGGGCAGCTTTTCTCCCTCACACCCTTCCCCACCCCCAGCTCCAGTCCAGGAAGCCCCCAGGGAAGTGGTTGAGCCCTCCAGTGGCCGGGCCACTCTGCTGGAGTCCATCCGCCAGGCTGGGGGCATCGGCAAGGCCAAGCTCCGCAGTGTCAAGGAGCGCAAGCTGGAGAAGAAGAAACAGAAGGAGCAGGAGCAAGGTGAGGGGACCCTCGCCCCACTCCAGGGGAGGGCTCGAGGAAAAGGGCTGCCTTCTCTTCTGACCACCAGACTCCGGCAGGGTGTCCTCTGCAACCGCAAGTGTCAGAAGGCCGGCACCCAGCCAGCCTGCCCGCTGCCTCCCCGAGGCCATTTGCTGGGGGCTGTGGGTGGCCATCCCGCTGCCTAGGCCATGGTTCCTCCTGGTTTAGGAGCCTGCTTAGTGGAACTTTCTGAGTTGGTGGGAGACAGAGCCCCACAAGACAGCCTGCTTAGACCGTGCAAGGAGCTGTCCAAGGCCGTGGTCGGGACCTGAGAGACTCTTAGAGACAGGACCTGGAGGGCTGGCTCAGTCCCGCTTCTCTAAGCCTCTTGAGGCTGCAGATTCCGTCCGCTATGAATCCTGAAGGCTGGCATCAGTGTGCCCCCCGGGCATGAGGCAGCAGAGCCCTGGAAGTCAGGAGACCTGAGTGGGAGTCCCAGCCCTGCTTCTGGGCTTTCCACTGTGACCTCAGGCCAACTGCCCAGCCCCTTTGGGCCAGTTTCCTTATCTGTGCAATGGGGCTGCTCATACTTGGCCCTTGGCCTCACAGGGCGGCTGTGACAATGGGACTCAAATGTCACCATTTTCTCATTAGTGCCCCAAAACTGGACCCACTGGTAGACTGAAGTTTCAAGAGCTGATGGAGAGGGCTGGGGTGTGCTGATTGTCAGCAAGAGGAGGATAAACGTGACTGAACCCTGAGGATGTCGCCGCAGGTGCAGATCTTGTACTTGGTTCTTCATCCTCCCTCACCCGTGGCTTTCCCGTTGCAGTCAGAGCCACGGGCCAAGGTGGGGACCTGATGGCAGATCTCTTTAACAAGCTGGTCATGAGGCGCAAAGGTAGGAGGCAGAGCACCCTCTGCCGTCCCTGGGCCGGGGTCTCGGGGTATTTTGTGTCATGCACGTTTTGCCTTTTTCTTCCTGTTTTTAAGTCTCTAGGGGCTGGGTGAACTGGTGCCCCAACCAACTCCCTCACCCTTCCCCTCTGCCCTCCCAGGTATCTCCGGGAAAGGACCTGGGCCGGGGGCCAGCGATGGGCCAGGAGGAGCCTTTGCCCGAATGTCAGACTCCATCCCGCCTCTGCCCCCGCCCCAGCAGCCACCGGGAGAGGAGGACGAGGACGACTGGGAATCCTAGGGCTCAGCTGCTTCTTCCTCCCCCAGAACCCAGACTGAGCTATTGCCTTCACACAGCAACAGCCAGGATGTGCTCCTTGGCCAGCAGGTCTGTCCCTGCTGCCCTAGGAGGGATGGGGATCTTGGAGGACTGTCCCAAGTGTGTGCCTGGACCTTCTTCAGGAAGCAGAGGCCGGCTTCTGGCTTCCGAGGCCACACGGCTGGGAGCCGCAGGCGGGGAGCCCTCGCTCTCTGTCTGCTCTACCCACCCCCTCACCAGCATGCTCTCTTCTTCTCTAAAGAGACTCTGAGATAAAACAGTACATGAATCAATAAAGAAGCATAATGCAAGAACTGAGCATGAACCAACAGTGCAGTTTTCATTAAGGAACAGTAGCTGTGCAAACATCTCCGAGCCAGCGCCTGTCCTCCCGTCCCCACTGGTTACAGGCGGTGGGGGCAGAGTACCCATTGGACCAAGGCCTCTTTTCTCTGGGGTCAGGCAGAGAAGAGAGGTGCAGTAGCAGGGGCAGCTATTGCAGATGCAGGGAGTGATATTTTCCTACAGGAAAAATGTCTCAGTGACAGACACGGGGTCTCTAAAAATAGTCATGCTGAGAGCCTAATGGCCCTTGGCATAATTGCTGATGTCAGGGGAGGAGGTGTCTTGGAGTTTGCTCAAGTGGTTGAGAGGGAGGGAGGCGCCACTGACTTGGAGGACCTGGAGCCACGCCAGGCAGATAAAAGTGCTGTGGAGGGCTGGGGAACAGGTTAGGGAGCAGCGCTGCACTGAAGCGAGGCCTGCAGGTGGAGGAGCAGAGCACGGGGCTCTCTTCCCAGTTCTTACCGATGTACAGAAGGTGGCTGAGGGGACCAGAAGCCCCTGGGCAGAAAGCACTGTGGACAGCAGAGGGCTAGAAATAGGGAATGCTCTTACTTTCGAGCAGAGAGTGAAAAGTCTAGAACAGCTAATTGTAGCTGGAAAGAGAGGAGGGGACAGGTGAGAAGCAGGATGGGCCTGTTCCACCTCACCTCTAAGAAGGTGGATGCTGCAGTGGAAGGCTGCAGCTTCCAGAGCCGCCCGCAAAGGCCGGCCAGGAAACAGGGCAGGGAGCTCGACCCGGCCGTGCTGAATGGGAAGCTTCAGTTCCAGGGAGGGGAACTGGCCTGGGACGGGGCCGAGGACAGCAGGACCTACTGTTTTCTCCTTTTGGCTTTACCACCTGTGCCTGGGTCCTGGCAGCCCACTGATGCCAGAAGGGGCTGGTCTAGACTTGACACTCTCCACCTGGGTTTCACCTTCTTAAGCAAGATCCCTGCAGATCAGGCCCAAGACAAACGTTTCAAATTTGCAGGGTGAAGAGCGAGCCTAGTGATCAGGCAGCGGCGCGGCCATCCATCAGGAAGGGCCAGACCTCTCACGATGAAACTGGGGAGACAGGGAAGGACAGTGAGACACTAGATCTTGGGGATGGAGGCTCTCGGGGGACAGGAAAGGCGCGACTGACCTTTCGCATAGCAGCAAGGGCAGGGCCAAACGTGGCTTTGACCTCCACGCGGTCTCGGATCCAGGCTGGCAGCTTTGCCAGGACAGGTGGGCGGGCATACCGCTGGTCCAGGAGCACTATGCTGGCAAAGTCCTTCTGGTGCCTGATGGCCCTGCCTGGATGGGAAGAGAGGTTGGGGCTCCCCCACAGTACATTTCTATTGTGTCCCCTCCCATTCGACAGCCCTCAGACTGGAGAGATGGCAGGTAAAATACCTCCTTCCTGTCACCTCATTGTCCAACCACCCGTCCCCAGCTATCCGCCTTTAGAGCAGGGACAGTCCCAGGCTTACCTATAGACTGGTTGACAGCCTTCATACACAGATTCTCCACCAAAGCCTTCCCTGGAGGGGCCTGACCTGGCGTCCTGGGCTGGGAAAGGCAAAGGAAATGACCTGTCAGAATATTTTCTCGCCTCCTGCCTAGTGTTCTCTCTGAGCAAATGACACTGCCAGGCTTTGGAGAAAGACCAATAGGCTTCATGGGCACAATGCCAGCAGCTGATATAACGGATGAGGTCATGGAGAAGCTCAAGAGGGTGTGGACATGCATCCCATCCCTCTGGAGCAAACAGGAAACATCGGCACATATCAAGGGGCAGTGGGGAAGTCACAGCTGACCAGCCTTGGTGTCACAGCCCAAGGGGCGACAGAACTCCCTCCCCGCCCTTTCCTCTCGTCCTCTGGAATACTGGAGGTACTCACAAGGGTCTGATCTAGGTAGGCCATCTTCTCTTGTAGCTCTGGAGACTTGATGTTGGGGTAGGGCATGCCCACCATAACCACACACCTAGGGGAGGGGCACACATGAGGCAATGGCATGTGGGCGTCAGGCCCTCAGCAGGTTCTCAAGGCCCAGGGGGAAGGACCCGGTCTTCAACTGCTATGTCTACTGCTCCCTCAACCTCCTCAAGCTGTGCTCCGTGGCTCTACCTCCCCATGCCTACCCTATACCTACTACCTGAAGAAGGTGTTTTCAGCTACGAGATCCAGTCCAGACCAATGAATTGAGTCCTGATAAAGTTACGGTCTGCCTAATTTTCCACCTGGTCTCAGAAGGCCAGATCCAGAGTTGCCGAAATACTTCCCCACGCAGCTGACTGACCTGGGCAGTCAGCCTGGGTGCAGACTCAGGTGGCATCAGATTGCAGGTAGGGGCCCAGCTGCCTGGAGTGAGGGGTGGTCGGGTGTCAGAGCGCCAGATGAAAAGCCCACTACTTACCGGCCAAGGTCGTCAGAGAAGTTGATGCCTTCACTCATCTTTCCTCCAACCACAGAGAGGAGCAGGGCCCCTGTCACAGTGCCTCCCGCCTGGCCACAGCACTGTGGGACATACCAGCCCCAGAGTTATGGAACCAAAGCTGGGATACCACCCAAAACGTTTTCAGCTGCCAACCCATGTTCTCTGGACCCAAGGCCTCAGTTACACCTCGTACCTGAATGCACTTGGAATACTCCATCAGCACCTGCTCCACCTGGTTTGCTCTCTTAGGTTCCTGAAATATCTGAAGGTAAACAGACAATGTTTCCCAGAAAAGGGTTTCCGAAGGCCTGGGTCTCAGGTCCAGACTGGGGACTGGAGAGCCCTACCGAGTCAGGCGCTATTGGGAAATCCTCTGGGCAGTGATCAGAGATTGGGAGTGGTGGGGTAAGGAGCTAGCAGAAGCCCTGTATGTGAGGCCTAACCAAGGGCTGGATGTGCAGGGGATATCCTAGGAGGAACGCCACGCCACTGTTCTCACAAGTGAGAGGTTCAGCTGAGGGGTCACTCACCTTTTTTCTGACAGCCAGGCGGGCCAGCAGGCCACTCTCGTCCCAGTGGGCATGGACCTGGCGTTGGTACTCATAGGAGGGGAAGAAACAGACCACCCCTCCAGGGACCACGTTGCACAGGTTACAGAGAATGCGACCCGTTTCAAGCATCTAAGGAAGGAAGACAAGGAGCCCTCCATGGAGCCATTCCTAAAGCCACACCCAAAAAAGGCTTCCTAACCTTGGGGCTCAAATGCAAGTACAGAGACCCACAGGTGACAGTGGTCAGGGAGGACTACGGCCAGGTGGCTCCCGAGTGGGAATCACATTGGAATGTGCCCCTCTCCCTACCAAAGACCCCCAGCTGATGCTTCTGGTGACTGGCAGCATCTAGGATGCACATCACAACGCTAGAACACCTGAGCTAAGACTGCTTTTGTATGCCACTGAGTCCACCCTTCAACTCCCAATGCCCGGGTGAGCAACTAGGGATTAAGCACCATCTCTGACAAACTGGGCACTGAAAACTCCAGGCATGCCACTAGCAAAGTGCCCCCAACACCTGCATCCCGGCCCAAGGCAGGAGCTGGTATAACCAAATGGCAAGAGAAGCAAAGGAAATGAGCAGCTTTCTCAACAGCTTCATCTGAAAGGGATGACTGGAGGTTTTGAGAAAACTTATTTAGCAGCCTAAGGGGTGGAAGGGTCGGGGGAAGCTCAGATCTTCCCTGATAATTTCCCAGCACTAATTTCCCCAACGCCTGAACACTCAGGATTGGCCAAGAGGCCCCTCCTCACCCCAGAAATCTCTCTCCTGCCCTAGCAAAGGCTGTGGTAAGGCAAACTGGCTGGTACTAACCATCTGAGGCAGCTCTCTCTTCTGGTATGTGAATTCCAGCTGCTGGTTGGAAGGCCCACTGCAGATGACGAGGGGGAGGATATTGTCTGGAGGGATCACGTGACCTGGTGAGACCCAGTGAGGGGCTGAAAACTGGAGGTACAGACTGTTCTGCGAGGCAGGGTCCAGAAAGAGCATTCCCCAACCCCTGTCTTCCAGACAAGGACTAGCAACGCATACCACTCACCCAGCCGCTCGGTTTCCATAGTAAACCTGGGCGATGGATGCTCAGACCTCCCATGTAGACAGAGGGGACACAGACCACGAGAGCAAGCTCACAAGAAAGCTTGCAAAGGATGAAGCTCCCACCTTGTGGCCTCCTCAGCCCCTCCTGGGCCTGGTAACAGCTATGCTTGAACTATGACAGCATGGAGCCCAAATGTGACCACGTGGCCCATCCACCCTGGACATAGACCCTCACCACAGGAAAACTCCACCACGCGCTCAGCTTCCGCCCCAGCACACGCCAGCAGCTGCTCCCGGAAGTCGGACACCTGCAGACCACAACATCAAGGCTCCGTGATCTCCCCGAGGCACAGGACAGCGACCTCAGGCCTGAGCAGGCAGGGGCCTTGGCAGGGAGGGAGGAGAGAATCACTTGGGCAAGACAGAAGTCTGGGCTGGGAGGCAGCGAGCACATAACAGAAAAAAGAAGTGAAAAGGAAAGGCTGACAAATTAGCAAAGAGAGTAAAAACATGTAACGATACCCAGGGTTGGCAGTCTCATTAATAGCACAGTAAATCCAGCAAATTTGGCACAGTGGTTCTCAATTCTGGCTGTGCAACAAAACCACTAGTGGGAATTTGAAAAAAAAAAAGACACATGGCCAGGCCCCAGCCCAAACTATTGAATAAGAACCTCTAGGGGGAGGACATATGTAATTGTACTTTTAAAGAGCTCCAGGTTTTTCCCCTATCAAATTGGCAAAAATCCCAAAGTCTGACCACTCTGTGGAGAAACAGGTACTCTCACACACTGCTGGTGGGACACAGGATAGTACAACTCCAATTGGAGGGGAATTTGACAGTGTTTAACAAATCAGATATATTTTCACTTTTTAACTTAGCAATCCCACATCTAGGAGTCTCCCTTGAAGACACAGCTCTGCACACCAAATAACACGCACGAGGACAGTTCTTGTGAAGCCACTTGTGACAGCAAGACTGCCTTTCACAAGGGGACTGGTTGAGGGAGCCATGCTACCTCCACCCAACCGAGAATGATGCAGCCAGCAAAAGGATGCACACCGTCCCTGCGCACTGAGAGGGAATGATCGCCAGAACATACTGGTAAGTGAAACTGATTATGCCACCTTTACGTTAAGTCAAAAAGAAAAAGAAAAAAGAATAAGTTCATATATTTACTTATTTTCGCAAAAAAAAAAAAAACGAAACACTGGAAAGACAGACCAGTAGCTAATAAAAATGATTATCTATGAGGACAGGGAACAGGTTGGAGAGGGATGGAAGTGAGAATTTCTAAAGGTATCTTTTTATATAGTTTTGACTTTTGAACCATACAGATGTTTACATTTTCAAAAAATATAATTAAGACAAAAATAAAGACAAATTCTAAAATTAACTGAAACAAAGAAAGCCTAGCCGTCTGTCAAATCTACAACATAAGCCCACAGAGAAAAGCCTGACTTGAAGTGACTTTATACCCTGAGTGACTGTTCATCCTTAGTGGGACACTTTAAGGGCAAAAAATAAATGCAAAGAAATGAAACTTCAATCAGCAGTTCTGTTAGAAGTAATACACATATCAGTATTATTATTTTTAAATTATTTTAAGTATATTGTGCGATAGTGCAAATTAGCAACATCAGAAACCAAATATTCAGCTTAAGAGAAAAGAGATACAATGTAAGGTCAAATAAATTGATTGGCTTTGATTCAGAAATATCAATATGCACTCACGATTTCTGAAAACATACTTCCTAGGTCTGTCTACTGAAATGGCCCATAAACAGTGATAACCGAGGAGCACTGTGAACACCTCAGCACCCAGATGTTGGTTTCTAAATCCCAGTCCCCATTCAAAGAAACCAGAGCACCTTGGACAAATGAATGAGTCCAGCTCTGGGGCAAGGCAAGTATGAGGTGAGCCCGGGATATTTCTGTTGTATCCAGGACTAACGGGGTCACGTCAAAAGGGAGTCTGAGGCAATGTGAGCATCAAAAGCAACAATGATTATAAATGATTTTAATACACAAATGAATAGAAATATACGAGTCTATACACAAGAAAGAAAAATGGAAAAAGAATAAAGCTACAGGGGCAATTCTAACAGGCAGCAGAGGTTGGGAACCACTGCCTGCTTGAGGACGTTGATGAGCTTTTCATCCAGAATATCCTGTTCTAGAATGTACCCTAAGGAAACAGCCTGTGCAGAGAAGTGACTGTATCTCCCACGCCACTGTTTAAAACAGAAAAACTGGAAATCGCCTAAATATCTAACAGAAGAAGAGTGGTCATGTAAAATACAATATATTCACGTAGTGGAATGAAGTGCAGCCAGAGTATGGTGGAATAGATGCATATTTGCTGATGAGGAAAAATGTTTATGATATTTTTTTGCTGAGTGAAAAAAACAAATTATAACAGCAGCATGTAGAGATAACACCATTTTTGTTTTGTTTTTAAAATATGCATGTATATTCGTAAAAATTATGCATACAAAGACTATTATGATATACACCAAAATGAATCTTCTGCTGGCAGAATTATGATCCATTCTTTTTCCTGTTTTTGTCTCTGCTTTCTACAACGAAAATATAATACTTTTCTAAATATAATATATTAAAATTTAAATTTGTAAAAGAGAGAGAACGTTGTATAAAAGAGAGAGAAGGTTATAAAAGAGAGAAGGTGGGTACAGGAAGGGAAGGGCACTGAGGCACCTAAATGAAGGTCTGAGACTCTAGAAGGGCTTTCTATGGGAGCAGTGTGCTCCTGTGGCTACAGTAACGCCAGAGCAGCGGCAGTGCCCCCTCACCAGCCCCCCCAGGCCGAAAGGCCTGGGCAGTGACACAGCAGAGCAATGCCACCTGGTGGCCGCTGCTTGGCCCGCTCAAGCCGACCCCTTTCTGGTTTGGGGACCCAAGGAATGGGGACGAAGCCTGTTGGTGCATCCCCCTGTCCCTGTCTCATCTCAGCACCTGGGGCACAAGAGGCTAGGCTTGGCACCTTACCGGCTGCATGGTGCCCCCTGCAATGACCACTGCCCGGCATTCCTTCACCACCTGGGCAAAGGGCACAGCTGGATTCAGGAGCAAGAATTTGAGGCTGCTTTGACTGAGGCTGCCTGAAAAAAAGACAGAGAAGAGACAGCTACATGGGGAAGGGGGCAGATGCAGGCCCAACAAATACTTCTCTCGGTCTGAGGCAAAGGGCATCTCCAGTTGGGACCATCAGAAGGCACAACAGACAGCACTTTCTCTTTAAATCAGATCCCAGGACAACATCCTCTAAGACAACCCCGAGGCAGACAGCACTCTCATCTCCCTTTTCACACAAGGAAACTAAGTTGGTTCAGAGAAGTAAAACTGGTCCAAGTCACGCAGCTTGTGGGTGGCAGAACCAAGACTCAAACCAAAGCCCACCTAACCCTAACCACCAGCCACATGGCTTCCCCTGTAACCTTGCCCAAGATGACCCATCATCCCAGCACCTCTGCAACCCTCCTCGCCACCTCTACCTCCTGCCCAGGTCACAGGAGGCCAGTTATCACCACCCTGTCTCCTCGTCCTAACCCAGAGAGGTGCCAGGATGGAAGGAAAGAATCTTTCCCCACTCTGGCTCCCCGGCTCCAGACTGGCTCCTCCCTGGATTACCTCGGCGGCTCAGGATGACCCTGCCGTCCTGGTTGGCAGCGGTGAGAGCTGCAAGGAAGCCTTCGATGTGCATCAGCGGGGAAGCAGGCCGCAGCGCCCTGGCCTCCTCCTCCTCTATGGGGGCTGCAGGAGCTGCACAGAGCAGGACGACGAAGAGGGTCTGGGACCACGGACAAGGGGGAGGGTCTCCCTGCAGTTAGGCTAAAGCCATTCTCCGGGAGAGATGAGTCCACATATGAGGAAGGAACGTTCTTGCCCAGGGCCTGTAGCCAGTCTCCCACCGTCCTGACTCACCCTTAGTCCCCCCAGGCTGCAGGCTCTGCAGGAAGTGCTGGAACCCAGCCAGTCTGGGCTGCTCCCTGGAGGGTGTGAGGACCGCTCCATACCTTTCTGTGAAGCCAAAGAGCTGGGACAGGGATGAGAGAGCACCAGAGAGGAATGAGGACGCAGCAGAGAGAGGGAGGCTGGGACAGACTAGAGGCTTCGCTGGGCCCAATAGCCTGCAGCTTACCCTCCAGGGGCACCCTGGCTCTCCCCTCCCCACCCCAGCAAAGCTGCTCAACACTAAGGATAACGAAAACAAAGGCGACTCTGAAGGTCCCACAGGGTAGGAGAGAGAGGCACTGTGAGCACAGCCAGCAGGGCGCTGCTGGATCCCTCAGGCCCCAAAAGGGGAGCACGTACCTTTCTGCTGACCATGCTCTTCTCACAGTAGCGCTGCACCTGCAAAACCAAACGCGGCTGCAGGCACTCGTAAACACTAACGAAGCTGGAAAAAAGACAATCACCTTCCAAAACCCCAAGAAACATGATTCACCACCACATCCTGAGGAGCCCAAAGCCTCCTTGTGGACAACCGTGTCAAGCTCCTTTCTGAGGTCACTCCTCTCCTGCTGCCCCCACACACAACAGGGTGCTCCCATGAGAGGGACTCTGCTGAGCCGCACGGACACGGCCTCCCCCACACCGTGTCTGCACGGCTCTGACCCTCTCTAAAGGTGACAGTTACATCCCTTCTGCTTTCCTTCAATGTGGCAGCACCTAAGCTGGACCCTGAAGGATTAAGAGTTAATTTAAAAACTCCCTATGAGCAAAGACACAAAGGAGGTCCAGCTCGGGGCTTGTTCAGATCGTCTGGAGTAGCTGAGTCAGTGTGTACAACCTGTGTAGCTTGAAATGCAAGACAATGAGTTTGGAGCCTTTAAAGATTTCTGAAAAGAACGGTACCTTTCAGTTAAGATTCACTAGACTGTAGTTTGTAAAAGACATTAGAAGGGAGAAAGAATGAAATCAGGAGACCAGAAAGAGGGCCAGAGGAAAGCAGCCCGCGCTGAAGGAGGAGCTGTGGGAATGAAAAGGTGGGATCAACTCAAGAGCTTTCAGGCTGTGGGCCTGGCCCCTGGTGGATGCGGACACAAAGGGTAGAGACGAATCAGAGGACCCGGACTGCGAGCATGTCTCACGGAGTAATGGCAGGGACAGGACCAAAATGGGTGAGTCTGGGGGTAAGCTGGTTTGAAGACAAAAGGCAAGGCAGGATGGAAAGAAAGCAGGTCTCAAGTCCACAAAGCTGGGCGCACACGCTGGCCCTGCCACGCGCCATTAGCCCCCTCGTGTGTGGCCTGTGCGTGTCGTCTTCCTGAGGTGACCTCGCCGAGCCTTGGGCTCCTTTGCTCTAGAATGCTGATGAGACATCCTACCCTGGGGTCACAGAACCTGGCGCACTGCCTTGAACACAGCGAGTGCTGCCTGTCGTCAGTAAACTAGATTCACTAAGGTTGTGAGTCAAGCAACAGTGGCCGTCCCCTGCCTGGGAGAGTGCTGAATATGCAGGCCTGGAGCAAACCAGAATCTGAGGCTGCAGTCATGAGAAGGGTCAGCACCCACCTCAACCTCACAGCAGGATCATGCTCACAAAATCAACTTCCTGCTCCGTCCACAAGCCCAGGGGAGCCTGTGCTGGCAGGGAGATGGAGTCAGGCAGAGGACCTGGGAGTCTCTATTTGTGCTTGTTGGGTACAAAGAAAGGCACCTTCTCTCCTCAGTCCCTATGACCTTTTGACCCTAGATTGACTATTTTTTTCTTGCTGATATGTTGCTTTGTTTAAGGGTGAAGTAATTACATACATCTTGAGGAAGTGGATCCTCAGACCTCCAGACTGCCTGACGACAAGTGGAATTTACTTTTTATTCCTTCCACAGTCTTGACATAGTGCTCTCCGCAGGTGGTGATCAGAAGAAGGGAATTTGACGTGCTAACATAAAAAGGTGAGAACCTCTACCTTGAACAGGTTGATGTTGTCAATCTGGCTCAGAAAGAGAAAGTCATTGATGGTCTTCAGCTCTGTCCCTAAGGGTAAACCAAAGGAGGGCTTTGGAGTCCTCGCTCTGAAGACCACTGCTTGAGGTCCCAGAGGGAAGCTCAGAACCTGCTCAGGCCAGCTCTGGGCCTCTGAGGGCAGCCCTCTCACCTGTCTGCGAGAGGCTCTGGGTATTGGGGTTTTGCTTAATGTTCCCTAAAAAAGAGAATTCAAACAGGTCAGGATGGTGGGCCTCTGAGCCCCATCTTCTCACACTTGACACTGTACTCATCAAATAAGAGCATTCGTATTGAACAGGTTTTTGCCATTTATAGCATCCAAAGAACCCACTAAGAGGACAGGAGGTTCCAGGAAGCCTCAAAGTCTGACCCACATGTTTGCATGTGGAGACTATAGCCCTGTGATTTCCTTCTTCTCACACCTCCTCCAGCGAGACAGGGCAGTGACCAGCCCATTTTATGCAGGCACAGTCAGGACACCCCCAGGCTGCACAGTGACCAGCGGTAAGGCAGAGATGGAAGTGGAGAGGACCAACATGAAACAAAATCCCTCCAGAAAAATCCCCCACTGGCCTCCTGGAACTTCAGCTTCTATAAAAGCCTTCAAAGGGACTGCCATACGGTAAAGGAAAGGGAATGTGGCACAGGTAATGCAAAGTACGGGGCCTGGAGCCAGAAGACTCGAGTCCCTCTTGTGGCTCACGAACCACACGCAGCTCACGTCTCTGCTCTGAGCTTTAACTGACTCCTCCATCAGTGAGGGTTACTGTGCCTGTGCTGCCTTCCGCAAAGAGCGGGCCAGAGTACTATCACTGTTACATAAAACGTCACATATTTATACTACCTTATTATTACTACTACAACCTGTGCAGTAAAAAGGATTCAGAACAGGGACAAATAAACTAGGATTCTTAAAAAAACATCTAAGGTCAGACAATTCAACTAAGCTACAAGAAAGAATTTTCTAAATCAATGGCCAAGACAATTCCTGAGACACAGAAAACCCAGCTGTCCCGCCTGGCAAGCTCAGCAGGCCGGGCCTCGGGCGGATGGTGCTCCCTACCACCTAGCACAGTCACGAACTTCTCCAGCAGATACAGGATCTGTTTGATGTACATCAGGTTCTTGGCCTTCAAACGCTTCCTGAGGAAAAACCAACAGACCTCAAGTGGTGGGACACCAACAGCAACTTCCCTTCCATCCCGGGGGCCCCAAGCTGAAGCCTTTCTGTCTGACATCTTTCAAACTGGGTCAGGAGCTACAAACACTCTCGCAGAAAACAGGCTGGCCATGGCCCGAGCCTTCACAGCCAGCTGTCCTGTCCCGAGCATCCTCGGCCCACGTGGGGTACACGCCACAATGAACCAGGAGGTGAACAGCAGGTTGGTCGACCCTGCACCGAGCCCAGACCAGAGGTGGCAACCCAGTGCCTCCTCTCGGAGGCTGACTGAGGGCACTGAGGCAGAGCAGGATTTCCCCTTCCCCCTCGGGAGGTAGGGTCTCACCCGTATCGTTCCATATACTGGAGCAACTGGGAATGGGCCTGGCACAGCTGCGGAGAGAACAGAGAATGGGTGTGAAGGCAGACCAGGCTCTGGGCAAGCAGCCTAGGGCTGTGCCAGAGACATCTTAGATTATGCCTAGAAAATACCAGCCCAGGACACACAGGAGGCAATCAAGGTGAAGAGTAGGGCTGGGCACAGACAAAAGTATGGGTTTCAAAGGCCCTTAGGCTGGTGGAGCTGAGAGAGGGGAAGGTAGGTTCTGCTGCAATGTCCACTGTCCCCTGGGTCAGGAGAAAAAGCAAGAGGCCAAATCTCTCAGGTAATGAATCTCCCTGCTCATTTTTACCAGGCTAGGAAAAGACGTGCTGTCTACAGAGACTGACGGTTCAAAGCCTAAGGTCAACCCAGGCACTGGCCAGTCAAGGTAACGGGATGTCATGTGGGCTTCAGGGTCAGAAACCAGTGTCAAATGCAGCTCCACACGTGGTAGCTGTGTGACCTTAGGCACCCTGCTTAAACCTCTCTGAATCTCCAAGTTCTCAATGTAAAACAGGAATACCAGCCCAGTGTCGAGTCAGCATGAAGATTAGAGACACCTCGTGTGGTGCCTGGCACATAATAGGTAACCAACGGTGGCTCTCAGAAATCTTGAGCACCCCTCAAAACAGTATTAACACCACCATCCAATCACATGAGGACCCCTGCTTCTCTCATCCCATCATCCTGGAGATGGGATTATGGAGAATTAGTTAGTAGCATCCTGGGCTGGAGGGACTCAAGATGACATAGGCTAGTGAAGAGCAAAGAAATGTGCCACCCTGCCTGAGCTGGGTCCCCCAAGTTCTAAGATCTGCTGGAAAGCCAGAGCCAGCCTCTGACAAGGCCACTGCCTTAACTCAGTGCACCCTGTACCCAATCCGCCTCCAGAGGAACCCAGGTCCCTCTGCCCCACGGCAGGCCCCAGCCCAGGCAGGAAGAGGCCAACCCACCTGGGAGCCGCTGACCTCCGCACTGTGGATGCCAGTGATGGTGTCGATCAGGTTGTGCGCCTCGTCGATGACAACCACCTGGCCCTGCAGCCGGATCCCTGAGGCCTGCCGGGTGGCCGCGTGCAGCAGCATCTGGTAGGGCAGCACCACCAGCTGGGGAGGAGAGGGTGGCCACCTGAGCAGGGCGGGACTCCCTCCCAAGCCAGCTTGCCCAGCCTCCTCCACGTTTCTGCTGTGAACGGTTTTATTTCCCACCCAGAATATGTGTAAGGACCTTCAAGAGAGAAGCCACAGCACAGCACTGTGCTTCCAGCAACAGACCCTTAACGTGGAACATCAAACATGAAACAGAGGAAACTTCTGACTGAACCAAGGGTGGGAGTAGGGCGAGGGAAGGGGAGGAGAATGGAAGCCCTGCTGTCGAGCCTCATCCATGTCCCCAGGTAGCCCCTGAGGCACCCAAGGTTCCTCAGAACTGTGAAGACCACTGGCGTACCAGAAAGCAGCCCTGGGTTCTGGTCTCAGAGCTGCCACTTCCAAGCTGTGTGACTCGGGGAAAGTCACTTAACCTCTCTGAGCCTTGGTTTCCTCATCTGTAAAACGGGCTTGATAAACTCTATCTCAAGTGAGGTTTAAGGAGTGGGGGTCAGGGTGACAAAAATATAAGCACTGTAAATTTTTTAGGTGCTTTGTCGTTAGGACAATTTTCCAGTTAAAAGAATATTGATAAAGAAAGTGAAAATCTAGAAAACTGGAAACTTCAGGCCCAGGTTCTAACACTGGCGCCATCAGTACTTGCTGTGAAAAAACAGACAAACCACTTCATCTTTCCAGGCCCCAGTGTCTTCATGTGTAGAACGTGGAGAATCCCTGCCTTGGCTATTTCAGTGGGTCCCGCAAGAGCAAAAATGAGGAGCAAGTGCTGTAGAGAGTCAAGACCGCGAATTTCAGGACATGCTACTACATTTGCACACAACGGTCGACAGCACTGATCCGGCAGGGTGGCAGAGAGACCCAGGAAGGGCAAGAGACAGCTGTGCAGCTGGGAGGGTTCTGGAATTCCCTGGGAACACCCTCACACGGTTCAGGCTAACAGACTGACAAGCATTTAATGCTGTGTAAAATTATTACTAATGTAGTTCCCTGTGCCTTTTAAAATCTACTTAAATCTTCTCTTGATTATATGGAATTCTCCACAATGATATTTTCCTTCCAAAAGTCACTCAAACTAAGGAAGTAGCAAGAAGACAGTGAAATCACACCCACCAAATAACAATGACATCATTTTTGACCTGTCAAATTAGCAGCTTTTCTTTCTGTTTCAAGATAACACTCCATATGGTAAGTCTAGAGAAGATGGTATTCTCGAATGCTGCAGGTGGGCGCAGCTGGAAGTCACTCTGAAAGGCCATCTGGAAGTACATTCACGTTCTGTAGCTCCCTTGCTGCATTCCTCTGTCTCTGCCCTGACACCCCTTCCCATGGTTTCACTAGGAATGCACACTCCTTCCTGGCTCCAATCTGCTGTCCCCCAATGATGCCAACTGTCCCTGCAGCCCAGAGCCACCAAGGGACCCGGAACCTCCTCCGACCCTATGTACTAGGAGGGAGTGGTTATGTGTCACCCACGTACAATGTGTGCTCAGTCCAACTGGAGCCAGTGACATCCTCCCAAATTAAAAGAGGAGCGAGGCATTGCCTTGTGGCCCAGTCTGCAATCAGAGCCAAGAGCTAGTGCCCAACCCTGCAGGTCCTCACCTGGGCTGCTGGAATGGCAAACCGGCTCCCGTAATAGGGACAGGCCTGAGCCTCCTTCCCCAGCGTCACCAACTGCTCAATGTCCTTCACCTCCACCAGGACCTCGTCCCGGAGGAGCTGCAGCTGCTCGTAGTTGTAGAAGGGGCAGGCGGCCCGGGGCTCCTGCCTTCTCCTCTTGGGCTTCTCTTCCTCAGCTTCGCTCTTCCTCTCTGAGGGGGCACAGGCACAGGCACAGGCATGGCAGAAAGGGGAGCAAAGGCAGAAAGAACGGTAAGTGTCCACAGTGCCAGGCGCAGGTGTGGAATGTCAAGACCCACTGCCGTGGGGCGGGGTCTGCAAGACCTTTCCAAGGACTGCTTATTACGGTCTCATCACCACATCTGGGTATTGTACTTTGTGTTCTCTAGAAGACGCCTACAAAATCATGTCGAAGCCAGGGTTTAGGACTAGACAGTGACTCAGGAAGCCTCTGCCCAGCAGGGGGTCTTTCGGCAGGAACCAGGGGTCTGCTCTTCCCTCACTGCCACTGAAGACACTGTCTTTAGTTCCTCAATCCCTGGCACACTTCCCCTGCCACCCACTCCTTCCTAGCACTGCCCAAGGCTACACAACGGTCCCCAAGTCTCCTTCCCCAGCTCAGAGCACTGAGGCTACCATGCTTGCTCCTCTGCATCTCCACGCAGCGGTCGTTGATAAGCTGCACAGAACCCAGGTGTTTCACATCTTCGTTTACACAAAGGTTCTACAAGACAGAGGAGAAAAAGAGTCAAAGAAATGGTGCTGGCTAAATGACACACAGCGAGCCACCGGGGCCTGCCCAGCCCAGCCCTCCTCTTTGTTTCCTTTCAAGGACCAGCAAGGCCAGGGAAGGGGCTGACCTCCCACTGCTCAGCCTGCCTCGGACCCATCATCTTCCTGTGCCTGCAACAGGAAGGCGAAGGCAGAGGGAAGGGAGCAGGGAGGCACCTGGGCCGAGACACCCCCTCTGTTTACCTGCCGAGAGCCGAGAGAGACAAGCCGGGTGTCCTTCCCAAAGGGGCTCTTCTGTACCTCGTGCACAAACTGGGCCAACTGGGAGTGCGTCCGACTGCAGTAATAAATCTGCTCAGAGGAAAAGCAGGGGATTTCAGGAGGAGACTGTAACATCTCTGAATACACTCTGCAGATCAACGAATGCCAGGGCCTAGGAGGCACAGGAAACAGGGAGAATGGCCACAAACACACAAAACTAGAGTAAGGAGGCTCCATCCCACAGCAGATCTCAGCTAATGCAGGGCCCGGGGAGTCCCCACCCCACCCTCAGCGCCAGAAGTTCAGGGGAACACCCACAAGATGGGACTCCTTCTGTCAGTCACCCTCAGCCTCCAACCCACCCCCTCAGGAGGGCTTGGTCATCTTACGAAAGGTGTTTCCCGTGAGCAGTGATTCTCAACATGGAAAAGATTCTTGACACTCTAAGGAGTGTGTCGGGGGAGGGCTGTTCCACACACGTCTCCCAAAGGAGGACGGGTGGCAGTGGAGCAGGAGGAGGCTAGCTGAACACTCTTCCTGTACTCCTCTGAGACTTACAAGAGTGAGGAGAGGAAAAGAAAATAATGGAAGGGGAATCCAATTTCAGAGAAAACCAAAGGCTTACATAAATGAAACCAAATGTTTTTAAATATGAGAGGTGTCTGAACCACACCTACCTCACAGCACTCCAAGCAAGCGAAAATACAAAGGAAGAGAGGGACATGCCACAAGAGGTCCAGAGGGCAGAGGGTGCCTGCCCTGGCCTGCCCTCCACCTTCCACCCATGAGTGGAGAGAGAAACCATCAGTCCTTGGCCCAGAATGGCTGCTCCTCGATGCCCTGGGGCAAATATGCCCAGGCATTGCCCCCCAGAGGGGTCTCCCCAGAGCCCAGCCCAACCTGCCGAGTGAGCACCTGGACACCAAGGTCTGGGTCTGGGGAGCCACAGAGTCAGTGGGTTGGAGGAGCAGCAGCTGGAGAGACTCTCACATTCTCCCAGGGACTGAGCCCTGGACTCAGGACCAAAAACAGGAGGACACCCAGGACATGATGTCTTACCTTAGTTACATGTTCTTCCTCCAAGTCATCCTCGTCCTCATCTACTCTGAGAGAGGAGAAAAAAAAAAAAGTCTTCTCAGCAAATTCAGGTCAACTGAAAACACATTTACTGAGCATCTCCCACGTGCCAGCCACTAGCCCCGGACCTAAACGAGTAAGTCCTTTCCTCAGAGGCCAACAGAACTGAGGTCAGAGCTCTGAGACAGAGAGAGACAGACATATCCCAGCAACAAGCTTCCACCAAAGCAGCAGGTGTTCGCTCACTCGCTCACTCGCGCAGTCAGAGACACCCCAGGCTAACATCAGCCCCGTGCCACTGCCCTCAGCAGAGAAAGGAGAAAGGCGCACGGTATCCCAAAGCCTAGGTTCATGTCTGGCTGTCTGTCATTGAAGGCTGCTCTCTCCTCACTGTCCACCCTCCAGCAAACTGGACTCCTCTCAGTTCCCCAAGAGAACTTGGCTCTTTATCACCTCAGAGCCTTGGACATGTGGTTCTCTTTGCCTGGAATGCTCTCTCCCCTCACCTCCTCCCTTTACCTAGCCAACTCCTAGTCAACCTTGAGATCTCCACATTAGCATCGCCTCCTCCGGGCAGCCTTCCTCAACCTCCCCTGCCCTGTGACGCACTGCCGTGGCCCCAGCACCTGCTCTTTGTATTACCCATCTCATTCAAAATCGCTTATTCTTGGTCTGTTTCCCTCACCAGACTGTCAAGTCCAGAGACAGGACCTGGGTGCGTATTGTCTCTGTGGAGTGCCGGGGTCCCTCTTGGAGTGGACTGAGTGAAGAAAAGATGCTGGCACTCGTGACCAGACAGACCTCTTCTCTCCTCAGCGCCTCAGACTGTCCTTTCTAGACATGTATTAAGAGCCCATCAGCACTAGGGGGTTGGAAGGGAGGTCAACTCTGCATTACACAGCTGACTGTTTAGTCAACCTTAGTAGTCTTGGCCCCTTAGAAAACACAAAACCCTTTTACAAATACACTCTACCTCCAGGGCCATCATATGGATTTTTTTTTGTTCACCTAGCAATTCAATTTTTTTTAAAAAACAGAAATGCTAATTGCCTTAGGCTATTAGAAGAGGAATTATTTATAGGGTTGGCTTCCCGGTCCATTAAGAATTGTTCAGTCAGGGGCCTGCCCCGTGGCTTAGCGGTTAAGTGCGCGCGCTCCGCTACTGGCAGCCCGGGTTCGGATCCCGGGCGTGCACCAACCCACCGCTTCTCCGGCCATGCTGAGGCGGCGTCCCACGTACAGCAACTAGAAGGATGTGCAACTATGACATACAACTATCTACTGGGGCTTTGGGGAGAAAACAGGAAAAAAAGGAGGAGGATTGGCAATAGATGTTAGCTCAGAGCCAGTCTTCCTCAGCAAAAAGAGGAGGATTAGCATGGATGTTAGCTCAGGGCTGATCTTCCTCACAAAAAAAAAAAAAAAAAAAGAATTGTTCAGTCAGCAGTGTCTGAAAAGGCCTGGATTTAAATCACATACCACATGGTGAAGAAACTCAGCAGGATCTAGGTGAGAGGCTGGATGTGTGAAGAAATGAAGAGCAAATATTTTGTATTCAGAATTGGTTGTGCCCTCAGAGGGGCTTGTGTCTCTTGAAATGCCAGGGCATCGGAAGCTACAGAAGCTACTCTGCAGGATTAACGGCTCCTGCCAGACCCTAAGGAACACTTTGGTTCCCTAATATTTGCCAACTCCACTCATGTTCTTTATCTTGTCCCCAAGGGGCTCTAGAAGAGAAGCAGAAGAGAAGGCAAGCAATCTTGGAGGCAGATGGGAAAGTCCTATCTCCCCAGAGCAGAATGCATAAAGCAGTGCGGACATCTCAGCCCTGGACAGCGTTAGAAATTTTAGTTTTAATCCAGGTCCTGAAACCTGTGCTTAAGGGCAGGCCACTGAGCACCAACAAAGAAAAGCCCAGGACCAAATGGTTTCACTGCTGAATTCTACCAAATGTTTAAAGAAATATGCTAATCTTTCTCAAATTCTTCCAAAAAACTGAAGAGGAGGGAACACTCCCAAACACATTCTATAAGGCTAGTAGTACTCCGATATCAAAGCCAGAAAAAGACACTACAAGAAAAGAAAACTACAGGCCAATGTCCCTGATGAATATAGATGCAAAAATTCTCAAATAAACACTAGCAAGCCGAATTCAACAACACATTAAAAGGACACCATGATCAAGTGGGATTCGTCCCTGGCATGCAAGGATGGTTCAACATAAGTACATCAATAAATGTGAACACCACATTAACAGAATGAAAGATAAAAACCACATGATCATCTCAATAAATGCAGAAGAAGCATTTGACAAAATTCAACATCCTCTCATATAAAAACTCTCAACAAATTGGGTACAAAAGAAATGTAGCTCAACATGATGAAGGCCATGTACAACAAGCCCACAGCTAACATCATACTCAATGGTGAAAAGCTGAAGGCTTTTTCTCTAAGATCAGGAACAAGACAAGGCTGCCCACTCTCATCACTCCTACTCAACATAGTACTGGAAGTCCTAGCCAGAGCAATCAGGCAAGAAAAAGAAATAAAAAGCATCCGAATCGGAAAGAAAGAAGTAAAATTGTCTGCGTGTTCATGACATGATTTTATATATAGAAAACCATAAAGACTTCACCAAAAAACTGTTAAAACTAAAAAACAAATTCAGTAAAGGAGCAGGATACAAAATCAAGATATAAAAATCATTTGCAGGGCCAGCCCCGTGGCTTAGCGGTTGGGTGTGCGCACTCCGCTGCTGGCAGCCCAGGTTCGGATCCTGGGCGCACACCGACACACCGTTTCTCTGGCCATGTTGAGGCCGCGTCCCACATACAGCAACTAGACGATGTGCAACTATGACATACAACTACCTACTGGGGCTTTGGGGGAAAATAAATAAATAAATAAATAAATAAATAAAATTAAAAATAAATAAATAAAATAGCAGCTCTTGATTAAAAAAAAAAATCAGTTGCATTTCTATACACTAACAATGAACCATCTGAAAAAGAAACAAAGAAAACAATCCCATTTACATTAGCACCAAAAACAATAAAATACTTAGGAATAAATTTAAGTATCGCGCTTAATGAAACATTGTACACTGAAAACTATAAGCCATTGATGAAAGAAACTGAAAAAGATACAAATAAATGGAAAGATATCCTATGTTCTTAGATTGAAAGAATTAATATTGCTAAAATGTCCATCCTACCCAAAGCCATCTATATTCAATACAATCTCTATCAAGATTCCAATAGTATTTTTTATGTAAGTAGAAAAAACAATCCTAAATGTCAAATTAAACCACAAAAGACTGAATAGCCAAACCAATCTTGTGAAAGAAACAAAGCTGGAGGCATCTAACTGCCTGATTTCAAACTATATTACAAAGCTATAGTAATCAAAACAGTATGGTATTAGCATAAAACGGAACAGAACTGAGAGCCAAGAAATAAACCTACGCATATAGGATCAACTAATGTTTCAAGGGAGCCAAGAATACTCAATGGGGAAAAGATAGCCTCTTCAATAAATGGTGCTGGGGGTGCTGACCCGGTGGCGTAGCGGTTAAGTGCGAGCACTCTGCTTCTGTGGCCTGAGGGTTCACAGGTTGAGATCCCGGGCGCGCACCAACGCACCACTTGACAAGCCATGCTGTGGCAGTATCTCATATAAAGTAGAGGAAGATGGGCATGGATGTTAGCCCAGGGCCAATCTTCCTCTGCAAAAAGAGGAAGATTGGCGACAGATGTTAGCTCAGGGCTAATCTTCCTCACATAAAAATAAATAAATAAATAAATGGTGCTGGGAAAATGGGATATTCACATGCAAAAGAATGAAACTGGACCCCCTACCCCACTCACAAAAATTAACTAGAAATGGATTAAAGACTTAAATATAGGACCTGAAACCATAAAACTCCAAGAAATAAAACACAGGGAAAAAGCTCTTTGACATGGATCTTCGCAGCAATTTTTTTGGATATGACAACAAAAACACAAACAACAAAAGCAAAAATAAACAAGTGGAACTACATCAAACTAAAAAGCTTCTGCACAGCAAAAGAAACCATCAACAAAATGAAAAGGCAACCTATGGAATGGGAGAAAATATTTGCAAACCATATATATGATATGGGGTTAATATCTAAAACATACAAGGAATTCCCAGAACTCAATAGCAAAAAACTAAATAATTCAATTAAAACAATGGGCAAAGGACTCAAATAGACATTTTTCCAAAGAAGACATACAAATGGCCAACAGGTACATGGAAAGATGCTCAACATCACTAATCATCAGGGAAATGCAAATCAAAACCACAATGAGACAGGACCTCACACCTGTTAGAACAACTATTGTCAAAAAGACAAGAGACAAGTGCTGGCGAGGAAGTGGAGAAAAGGGAATCCTGGTCCACTCTTGGTGGGAATGTAAACTGGTGCAGCTACTATGGAAACCAGTACGGAGGTTCCCCAAAAAATTAAAAGTAGAACTACCAAATGATCCAGCAATCCCACTTCTGGGTATTTATCTGAAGGAAATGAAATCACTACCTCAAAGAGACATCTGCACCCTCATGTTCACTGCAGCATTATTTACAATAGCCAAGACATGGAAACAACCTAAGTGTCGTTGACAGATGAACAGATAAACAAAATGTGGTATATATACGTGGAATACTATTCAGCCATAAAAAAAGAAGGAAATCCTGACATTTGCACCAATATAGACGAACCTTGAGGGCATTATGCTAAGTGAAATAAGTTAGAGAAAGACAAATGCTGTATGATTTCATATGCGGAATCTAACCAAACCCATAGAAACAGAGAGTAGATTGGTGGTAGCTGAGGGCGTGGGGAGAATGGGTGAAGGTGGTCAAAGGGTACAAGTTTTCAGTTATAAGATGAATAAGTTCTGGGGATCTAATGTGCAATGTACAGTATGGCCACTATAATTGACAATAGTGTATTGTGTACTTGAAAGTTGCTAAGGGAGCAGCTCTTAAAAGTTCTCACCACACACACAGGCACAAATGGTAACTGTGAGCTGATGGATGTGTTAACTAACTTTATTGTGGTAATCATTCTGCAATATACACATATATCAAATCATCACACTGTACACCTTAAACTTACACAGTATGTCAATTATATCTCGATAACGCTGGGAGAAAAAAAATATCACGGCAGCTGGGACACTGGGTGTGAAGTTAGAGGTGGAGGCAAAGTTAGAAGGTATGTGGCAGACAGACTGAAGGACCGAGGATTTATCCAAGAGACAGTAGACGGAGGGTTTCAGGCCTTATAGAGTTACACCCCAGACAGATGGTGTCAATGAGAACGTGGGACACATGGGACCTGGAGTCACCTTTTGAGGAGCAGGAAAGATTTCTTCCCAGCTGGGGGCCTAAGAGGGATGATCTGAAGGAGCGCTCACGCCTTTGGGGAAGAGCTACTGAACTTCAAGGCCGCAACGACCCTTCTAATGCCCCAATCAGATCCCGTCACTCTCCTGCTTGAAACCTCCCACAGCCTCCCTGAGAAGAACACCCAGACCCCTCGGTGGCCTACGAGGCCCCAAGAAACTGACAGCTGCCTCATCTTCACCCTCTTCTTTCTCTCTCTTCCTCATCCTGTCTGCTCAGCACTTAGGCCTCCTTTCTGTCCCTCGAACAGGCCAAACCCATTCCTGTTTCCAGACTACCACAACCAGGTCTCTGACTAGAACTCGCTTGTCCCAGGCCTTCCCATGATGGCTCTTTCTCATCCCTCAGGTCTCGGCTCAGACGTCACCTCCTCGGAGGGTCTCTCCTGACTTCTCTACCTGGAGGTGCAGCCCACCCTCTCCCCACTCTCCCTTGTTTTATCTCCTTCACAGGTGAATGTGCTCATTCCAACAAGGGTCTCCGTTTTCACGCTGCTTCTCTCCACTAAATGCAAGCTCTCTGAGGGCAGGGCTCACGTCTGTCTTATTCAGCTCGATGCCCACAAGATCTGGAAATGCACCACGGCTGGAGCAGATACCCAAGGGCATTTGTGACATTAAAGCTTGAATGAGAAGGAGGCCCTCACGAGGGGCAGTGTGGTCAGAGATGCCTAGTTGTTCTGTCCTGGGTTTTCTAGCTTACCCAGGAGGTTTTGTCCCATAAATTAGAAACCTAGACACCTGGGCCAAAATTAGAAACCTAGACACCTGGGCCAACAGAACCCTTAAGGTGAAAAGAAAAACTCGGCTAAGGATACCTTGATGGTTTATGTCATAAACTTGACACCGTGTGATTGGTGGCTAAGAGCATGAGATCTAGAGCCTGACCGGTTGGATTCAAGTCCCAGCTCCTCCCCTCCCTGGCCTCTTAGCCTCAACCAACACAGAGCACCTTGCTGGGCCACAACTTCCTCAAGTGTAAAAGTGGAGACACAAATACCACTGGTGAGGATAACAGGGTTAATACATGTGAAGCCAGTGCCTGGCAGAAAGGGCTGCCTATCACTGTCATCATCATTTATGCATCCTAAGGAGGAGCCTGGCTGAGAGAAAGGGGCAGGTGGCTGGCATTCCATCCCTTCAGATGCCTCGGAGCGGCAAACAAGCCTGCCTCTCTCTGGGCACCTGGGAGCCCCCACACAGACCTGGGCAGGGCAGTGGGTGGAGGAGAAGCGCTGTCTTACCCACTAGCTGTTCCTTTCTCCTCGTCACTCTCATACTCGGCAAGGACCAGCTCCTCCTCCCCAGATGCTAGTTGCTCTAGCTGCTCAGCCCCTGTTCCCGCTGCCAGCATCTCCCTGCTGAGGCGGAGGAGACGCTCTGTTTCTTCTTCTTCTTGTCTCTGTATAGGAGCATTACAGGTGGGGAAAGGGAAAGATGTCTCAGTACTGGTGCCCCTCCCTCCTTGCTGGAGTCAGCCTTAGAGTGGCTGAGAACTTAGCCAGTGGGGGTCAGGGAGAGGAGACTGAGGTCCTGGCCACTCCCCCGAAGGAGCAACACCATGAGGCCCAAGCCACATGACACTGCCTCGACACAATCCCAGCCACTCCAAGAGAGGACACTCACCGCGCGCTTGGCTGCATACTTGAGCTGTGCATTGTGACGGATATGCCGCAGGCGTTCTTCTCGTTTCTTCCTCCTGACCTGCTCCTCCTAAAGGGTGAAGTGGCCACAAAGAAAAGTCTTGTAGGAAGCCCCAAACCAGGCCTTTCTTCAAGAGTCTGGGGCTACTCAGCCCAGGGCCTCTTCACACAGGGCCGTTCTCCCTCCCCTGGCCCACACTCAGGTTGCTGCAGCATCTCGTCACCAGACCCTGCACCGCGCCAGGTCCCAGCCTCGCTGCTCACTGCAGGAAGTCTGCGTACTCCCTCCTAGGGCTACACACCCTCAATCAAATTCTTTCCTTAATTGAGTCTGCAGCCACTGAACCACATTGCCAATGGCAACAGTAAGGTTCCTTTCCCAGATGGGTAATGAATGGAACCACCAACCCCTTTTCTAGAGAAGGCCTGTTGACATCAGCTTAAAAAAGACAGCAAGGGTGCACCACCAACTCAGAAAGCTGAGAGGAGAGCTTAGAGGCCTTTGCAAAGGCAGAGAACACATGACATCGCAATCTCAGAATCAACCCACAATTATCACTGAAGCCCTGTGTCCCTCTCGTTATCCCGGATCCCACCTTGAGTCGGTCCACCAGCTCCCTTTCTTCCTTCTTCTGCACAAACTGAGTAACCCAGTCAGGCTCCCCAGCAGGCCTCAGGGTGTCTGGGGTCTCTTGGCAGGAGGATGCAAGAGACGGCGGCTGGTCCTTCCCGGCATTTAAGGGGACAGTTCCAGTTTCAAGGAGACGTGCCTCCTCTTGACGTTTCTTCTGTTCAAAGTCACGGAGCCAGGAAAGGGCTCCACAGATAAGGCTTAAGGATTTTCCCTACGGGAAGGAAAATGTTTTCGGAAATAGAGAACAAAAAACAAAGCTTCCCGAATCACCTTTCCCATTTTAATAAAGCCGTCAAGGAAGGTCTGACTTTAAATAGGAGAGGGTGCTCCGAGACCAGCTGGGAAAGGAAAGGAAGGAATTAGCAAGAGAATAGCCAGGAAAAATAGGAAGAACAGAGAAAGAAAGTGAACCTATGTGTTTAATTATATAGCTCACCGTTCCTAAAAGAATTTAAAGTGGCTTATCAGGTTACGTATAAGTACTACAAGTTAACATAAGTAGAAGATGAGAAATTAAACAAATAGCCCCAAAAAAGAATTATGGACAAGCAATGCATAGGCGCAATCCTGTATAGCTGCTGAGGGAGCCACACTTGGCTCCAGGCTTTACTGCAGCCACTGTGCAGAGAGAAGATGATCAGCCCCATGAGTCCCAGTGTTCAAACTTTCTTAAAGCAAACCCATTGCCCTGGAGAATACAACTCTTGATTTAAAGACTAGAATTTTCCCTGTGGGTCCCTGTTATGGGTTGAATTGTGTCCCCCCAAAATTCAAAGTCCTAGCCCCCAGTGTCTGAGAAGGTGACACTGACAGAGTAAGTTTCCATTGTGGGACTTTGTCACGGCAGCACGAGCAGACTCACACAGTCCTTTCAGAGAAGCCGCCACAGTGAGGTGCACAAAGCTGCTGCTTCTGGTGTCCAATGGGCGATCCAGCTCAGGTGAGTCTCTGCAGGGGCTGACACCTCGGGTCCAGGCAGCCAGCTCTCTGAGCCTGCTTAACCCGGGGGGTTCACAGAGCATCCAACCACAGGAGAAAGAGCTCTCCAAGGGGTGGGACTTAGAAGACATCCGAAAGTGAAGGGTAACTGAGATACACAACAAGGAGAAAAGGCCACAGAACTGAGAGCACCAACAGTGAAGGGCTGAGCAGAGGAAGAGGATGCATGGGACCGGCAGAGGGCTAAGACGGAAAGAGAGGAGAGGGAGGAGATGGGCCTTCAGGTAAACGAAGCGGAATGAACACACACTCATCTATGTTCTTTTCCAAAAAACGCTAAAACTACATTAAAGGAGTACAAGAGGCTTATACCCACAAAAACAAAGAAAGTGGAAGAAGTGACCGTTTTAAACTTAAGACAGACGGAAAGCAGAGAAATGGAACTGAGCTAGCAGCGTGAAGGACACTGAGCCTGAGTGCCTGCAGAGGTCCTCCCGCTCCCCTCGGAAACGCAGCAGGGCGCTGAAAACCAAGGGATCAACTGAAATTCTTTTCAAGGATGATGAGATTCCCAGGTTGCAGTCCCCACTCCTCGAAGAAGACGGGAAGTTTATTCTCTGGAGGAGCTGAGCCAGGAGAGCCCTGTAGAGAACAGGTCAACTAAAGAGTGGAGAAGAGGGCCGGCCCCGTGGCTTAGCGGTTAAGTGCGCGCGCTCTGATGCTGGCGGCCCGGGTTCGGATCCCGGGAGCGCCCCGAGGCACCACTTCTCCGTCCAACGCGAGGCCGAGTCCCACGTACAGCAACTGGAAGGATGTGAACCTATGACGTACAACTATCTACTGGGGCTTTGGGGGGAAAAACTGAATAAATAAAATCTTTAAAAAAAAAAAAAAAAAAAAAAGAGTGGAGAAGAGGGCCGGGCTGACAACAGGGCATTAAGTGAAAGACTGTGCACCTGCGGCCACTTCCCTAGGACACCCTCAGAACACTGGCTGTCAGGCTTGGACCCACGAGGCAAGGGTAGAGGAGCCTTCTCTGGAGACATTGAACGGCTCCCAGAAAATCCCACTGACACCGCCAAGTGGAGGCCCCAACAGAGAGGCCCAGCCCTCCAGTCCACAAGCCAGCCTGCACCACAGGCCTTTCACTCAGCCTTGTGGTGGCTTTTTCTTGAACACCAACAGAAGACAGCCAAGTGTCACCAGACATCTGAGGAAAGCCTCCAACAAAACTTAGAACCCAAACTGGGAAAAAACTTCAAAATACTACTATAATTGATAGCCTCAGAAAGATATTATTTCCATGAAACAAGAACAGGATGCTATTTTTTTTTTTTTTGAGGAAGACCAGCCCTGAGCTAACATCCGATGCCAATCCTCCTCTTTTTTGCTGAGGAAGATTGGCCCTGGGCTAACACCTGTGCCCATCTTCCTCTACTTTATACGGGACGCTGCCACAGCGTGGCTTACCAAGCAGTGCGTTGGTGCACGCCCGGGATCTGAACCGGCGAACCCCGGGCCGCCGCAGCAGAGCACGCACACTTAACCGCCTGCACCACTGGGCCGGGCCCCAGGATGCTATTTTTAAAAGCCAGAGAATAACGAAAAAAAAGAAACCTTGCCATGTGCAACAATGTGGACGGATCTTGAGACATTATGCTGAGTGAAATAAGTCAGATGAAGAAAGAGAAACACTGTATGATCTCACCTATATGTGGAATCTAAAAAAAACCCAAACTCATAGATACAGAAAACAGACTCATGCTTATCAGTGGCGGGGGGCCGAGGAGGGGGGAGGTGCTGTGAGGGGGGGTGCAAAAATGGGTGAAGGGAATCAAAAGGTACAAACTTCTAGTTATACAATAAATAAGTCCTGGGGATGTAATGTACAGCATGGTGCTATAATTAGTAATACTGTATTGCACATTTGAATAGAAAGACTAGGCAATAAAGTTAAAAGAAATCTCAAGGAGGTAGAATTTAAAGCAAAAACGAAAACAAACCAGGGTGCCCAAAGAGATGGGCAATTAGAAGAAAACAATCACAGGATTAACCAGGAAGTCCAAAACCCAATGAATGAGAGTACAGGAAGATTATCATCAAATACAAGAAAATGTCTCAGAACTGAAAGGTGGAGCCCCAGATGCAAAGGCCAGCACAAGGAATTAACCACACACACATCAGGCCCATCAACATGAGATTTCAGAGCACAAAGAATAAAGAGAAGGTTCTGAACACTCTGGAGGGTGGGGTGGGACCACGTCACAAAGGACTGCGAGGCAGACCACCACTGGACTTCTCGATAGCAACAACGGAAACTAGAGGAAGCAACTGGGAGGGAAAATTGTTTTGAAGCTAGAACTATATACCAACCAAACTATCACTATCAATCAAGTGAAAAGGTAGAATTAATACATTTTCAGACTAGCAAAGTCTCAAACACTTACCTCCTACACAACCCTTCTCAAGAATGTTCTGTACCAAAACAAGGAAGTGAACCAAGAAGATACGGAATCCAGGAAACAGAGAATCCAGTGCGGAAAAAATAAGGAAAGAATACACGCAACAAGATGGATGAATCCTAAAAGTATTAGGCTGAGCAAAAGAAGCCAGGCACAAAAGAGTACCTGTTATGATTCCATTTCCATGAAATTCTAGGAAGATAATACGAATCCACAGACAGTGGATCAACGACCGCCAGGGACTGGGGTGGGTGAGGTGGCTGTGCAGGAACAGCAGCAGGGAACCACTGCTAAGAGGCACAGGGAACTTCTTGGGGCAATAGAAATGTTTTGCATCTTGATTGAGGTGGTAGTCTTATGAGTATTTACTCCTGTCAAAACTCATTAAACTTGGAGACATAAAAGGAGCACATTTTATTATACATCAATTATACTTAATAAAGTTGGTTTTTTTTAAAAGGAGAGAAGAGAAATCCTAGGACAATAGCTGTGAAGTAGATCTAAGGAGCAACTAACTCAGATAAGAGCAAAAAGAGGGAGGACCTCAAAAAAGAAGTCTCCAGGGTAAAACGGAACTGATAATTGCTGTGGATTGAATTGTGTCTCCACAAGATTCGTGTGGTGAAACTCTAACCCCCGACGTGACTGTCTTGGAGAAAGGGCCTTTAAGGAGGTGATTACGGTTAAATGAGGTCATAAGGGGGGAGCCCTGATTCTGCTAGAACTGGTGTCTTTATAAAAGTAGCAGAGACACCAAAGATCTCTCTCTCCGCCATGTGAGGACACAGCGAGAAGGCAGCCGTCTACAAGCCAGGAAGAAAGACCTCACCAAAAACCAGAGCCTGCTGAAACCCTGATCTTGGAATTTCTGTCCTCCAGAACAGTGAGAAAATAAATTTCTGTTGTTTAAGCCACCTAGTCTATGATATTTTGTTATGGCAGCCCCAGCATTCTAGGACAGTAATTTTATGTATGGAATATCATATTGGGAGGCCACTGGATGGTATGACAGGAATTGGCCTAGGTATATTAGAAACTAAACAAACTTTTAAAAGGCAATTATTAACTCTAGAAAAACAAAAAATTGTGCAAGGAAAAAAACATAATTACAGTATACTGACTTAGCAGAGACTAAAACTTTTAATATAAATGTATCAGGAGGATGAGGAGAGGGAGAGAAAAGAGAGGGTAAGAAAGCTATATCTAGGGGCCAGCCCCGTGGCTTAGCGGTTAAGTGCGCGCACTCTGCTGCTGGCGGCCCGGGTTCGGATCCCGGGCGCGCACTGACACACCACTTCTCCGGACATGCTGAGGCCGCATCCCACATACAGCAACTAGAAGGATGTGCAGCTATGACATACAACTATCTACTGAGGCTTTGGGGGAAAAGAAATAAATAAATAAAAATTATTAAAAAAAAAAAAAAAGAAAGCTATATCTTATCTACCATACAGGGAAGGTACCAATGATTAACATCAAGAAATCAAGAAATAGCTACAAAGCTTATAATTTCAAAATATGCCTTGCAACTATATTTCTTAAGAAACAGTTAAAAGAATTAATAGTATCCGTCCAGTGAACCAAGTTTGATAAACTTGACTTTTTAAATAACACGCACTGGGTCCGGCCCCGTGGCTTAGTGGTTAAGTGCGCGCACTCTGCTACTGGCGGCCCGGGTTCGGATCCCGGGCACGCACCGATGCACCGCTTCTCCGGCCATGCTGAGGCCGCGTCCCACATACAGCAACTAGAAGGATGTGCAGCTATGACATACAACTATCTACTGGGGCTTTGGGGGAAAAAAGAAAAAGGAGGAGGATTGGCAATAGATGTTGGCTCAGAGCCAGTCTTCCTCAGCAAAAAGAGGAGGATTAGCATGGATGTTAGCTCAGGGCTGATCTTCCTCACAAAAAAATAAATAAATAAATAACATGTGTTATTCTTTGATTAAATCTTGTCTATTACTTTAAACAAAGGCAGAGGATATGTTCAACAGTATCACGTGCTACAGAGTGGTCGAGTAACAACTTCAAATATCTGAGTCTGTTAACTGAGAAGTCACTACTGACTCTAAAATATATTTCAGTGGGTTGGTAGGGGAAGAAGTCATGTTGCCCTGGGTTTAAATGGAAGGTAAGAAGGCTAGCAGAATACTATTTTATTTTATTATTTTCGTGTGTGTGTGAGGAAGATCAGCCCTGAGCTAACATCTGCCAATCCTCCTCTTTTCTCTGAGGAAGACTGGCCCTGGGCTAACATCCATGCCCATCTTCCTCCACTTTATATGGGACACTGTCACAGCATGGCCTGACAAGCAGTGCATGGGTATGTGCCCCGGATCCGAACCGGCAAACCCCAGGATGCCGCAGTGGAGCACGCGCACTTAACCACTTGTGCCACCAGGCCGGCCCCTAGCAGAATACTATTTTAAAGAACCACCCTGCACATTATATTCATGACCCACATTTTGTTAACTGGCAGGACTTATTCTCTCCCACTCACTGTATATGAAAGAGCAAAAAGGAACAGTGGAGTACCCCAGTCTGCACTCTTCCTGTCCCACGAGATCATGTCATCTTAAGAGACAGCGACACGCTTCCATCAGCAAGTGAGAGAAAAGGGATGAGTCACTTTCTTCTACTCAGTCATTTAACATACACATATTAAGAGGCTCCTGGGAGCCAAACTTGCCAAGCTCCGCTAGATGAGAGGGACAGAGGTGAGGAGCACAAGGTCCTGATCCTCCAGGAGGTCGCAGCCTAGGTGGGGGACCTCCACATCAACATACATATTTCATTCTCATATAGTACTTGGTATAAAAGGTAACAAAAAGTTCGAGAGAGAAGCGGGAACCGGTCACCACAGCCCTAACAATCCTCAATGGCTGGCCTCTAATAAATCCCTCCCTCATTCCAAGCCAGGAAGGAAAAACTTAGAGGCCCTTAGAGGCTGGATCCCTCCAGCACTCAGTAACCTAGTTCCTGGAGACTAAACCAGTATGTTTAATCCGTGAATAAACCAAAGTAATTTCTATGTTCCTCAACAGGGAAGTAATTGTGTGCCTGAGAAATCTGGGAAGTTTCAGTGTTATGGGTGATGGTCTCCACTGCCATTCAAATTCTCATGTGCCTTTAGCCTAATTCTTCTCAGCCCCTGGGGCTGTGTTTAACAATTTAATAGAGGGAAGTGACAATTATTCAGAAAGACAACTGAGAGAACTACTTTGCCCAACTTCAAACCATGAGAATCTGTGCAAGGCAAACAAGCACACTAGGCTGTCTCTGATTTGTCGTAATCAGGGGCTCCCAAGACCCTTCTTGGGCCCCGACGATCCATACTTACAGTGCCGGTTGGACTCTCAAATATCCCAATCTTGCCAGCCTCCAACACCTGGTATAGTTCGGCCATGAAGTCCTTCTGGATGGAATATGGTGTGAAGGGAAAAGGGAAATGGATGCCAGCAACCTGCTGGGTTTTATTAGCCATGGTCCTGGGGGGGGAAAAAAATCTAGTAGCTCTCTGATGAGCCAGGAAGAACTGGCTTGAAATCCTGAAGAGTTCCTAAGAGCAGACTCAACACTAGTTACGGGATTTTTCCTTACACTGTAGGAGAAATTTTTTGTGCAAGCAGAGACTACGTTCTCTCCAGCATGTGCATCTCTCCATGAAGCTCTACCAAAACCATGCAGTCCATCTAAGACATCTATCAGAAATGGCTGTAGCAGGGGCCGGCCCCATGGCTTAGCAGTTAAGTGCGCTCGCTCTGCTACTGGCGGCCCGGGTTTGGATCCCGGGCGCACACCAACGCACTGCTTCTCCGGCCATGCTGAGGCGGTGTCCCACATACAGCAACTAGAAGGACGTGCAGCTATGACATACAACTATCTACTGGGGCTTTGGGGAGAAAAAGGAGGAGGATTGGCAATAGATGTTAGCTCAGGGCTGGTCTTCCTCAGCAAAAAGAGGAGGATTAGCACGGATGTTAGCTCAGGGCTGATCTTCCTCACAAAAAAAAAAAAAGAAAGAAACGGCTGTAGCAGAATGCAGCCTGGGAAAGGCCCTAAACAGAACCCCCCCATCTCTTGACCTGGGATGCCTTTGCTGCCTGGATACCTTTCTAAGGCCTCTACAGAGGCCTGGAGATTTCCTCTCCAAGACCTGTGCTCCAGGATCAAGATTGTTGCTTGTAATTACTTCTGCAGCATTCCTCTCTCACATCTCACAATGCAGCTTCGCAGGATAAAACTGTTCACTTTATCCTGTCATGAAGACCTGTAAAGTCATGACACACAGACAGAGAAATTCAAGGACAGCCTTCTACACGGCTCTGGTTAACAAACACATCTCTCTTTTACAGGCACCTTTAGTTTGCTTCTTATTTCATCCTCACCTCCATTTCCAGTACGAACCAGAGCCGCCTCCTAAAACGTTTTCAGCCTCAAGAAATCAGAGCTTCCTGTCTGGTTCCAGACTAGGAGAGCTCTCTTTACAGGGACCAAGCCCTGGCTGGAAGAGCTCCCCAACGCTGAGCCCACAGCATGTCTCTCCCCTTGCCAGGCCAAGGTCTCAGAAAAACTTCTCTGCTCTGTGTTTATCTAATCTTTTTCCTCCCCTTCTGAACCCGATTTCTCTGAGAGAGCTTCTCCAGACCCCTTCTTCCTTTAATCACCATTTAGAGGACTGACTCTTCCATCCTGGGTCCCACACTCTCTCTCTGGAAGTCACTGTTCCAAGCTGTTTAGCAGGCCTATCTTTTCAAAGTACAAATATCAATAAATCTAAAACCCCTTTACATCTCTGCTATGTAACCGGCCTCAAGAAGACTGGTAATGGTGTCAATCATTTATGAGGGGAAAGGTAGCTGCCATGATGTTCTTCAGTTTAGGGGCAGTCAAAATGATGACAGAGGTGGAGGGGTAACTATAAGGAGGGTGACTTAAAAACCTAGGACAATTCAATACCAAGGAGGAGGCACATGATCAAAAAACCATTAAAACATGAGAGGAAGAAGAAAGGCATCTAACCAATTCTGAGCACCTCCTATGTGTTCAACACTTTACAGGCCCTTTTATCATTTCTTTTAATCTGTACAACACTAAGGATATGGTTGTTGGATACCGATGCCTACAGAAATTAAATAATTGTTCAGTCTCAGCTAGTAAGAGGAAAACCAGGGATCCAAACCCAGGTCCACACAGCTCTGTCTTAGTCAAATTCATCTGGCTGCAAGAGATAACTAGCATTAAGTAGAAGGGAGATTTACTGAAAAGATACATATTGAGAGATTAAGAATTGAGATGATCTGGGAAAACAAAGAACCGAAGCCTGACAGAGTGGGACTTCCTGCAGACTACAGCTACAAAGTAGTTCAGATTTCAAGACAGCTGCAGGAACCTCACCAGCAAGTCAACACCCATGGATTTCCATTCTCCTGCTCAGTCACATGCCAGAATGGGGCCACTACTTCCTCTGCTTACTCACAGCTTCTGATTATCCAAAACTTCAGCCTGCACATAGCCTCTTCAGCCGCCTCTACCTTCTAGCTTCAGCTCCTACTGCCAAGAGAAAATTCTTTTCATGTTTCTTAGTTCTAAATCCCAAGTGAAAAACCTGATCAGCATCTCCTCAACACAGATCACTGGTCAGCTACAGATGGTTTGCTGAGGCACTTGGCCTGATCTAATCAGCTTGGGTTTTGCCCTTGGGGAATGATGAGTCCTCAATATTTAGGATGCAGCTCACCTCCTCAGAGAAGCCTCTCCCTCTATTTGGCCACTCTCTAGCGGTCAAATACCACTCTCCCACTCAAATACACACACATATACACCACCCTGCTTTAAGTCACTCTTTTATCTCCTTACCCTGTACTTAATTTCTTCACAGCTCTTAGCACTATCTGAGCTTATTTTATTTACTGTCCTCCCTCACTAGAATATAAGCTGCAAAAAAGGGGAAGCTTGTCTGTCTTGTTCTTCCCTGCCCCTCGCACTCAGGATAGGTGCTCTGGCACCTGGAAGGCATGCAATAAAAATCTGATGAACGAATGAAGAGCCAGCTTGACATGTAGGCGGAGGTTTCTGTTCTTCAAAGGTGTAGGTAGAGGAGGTCCCAATGACTTAAATACCTAGTCCAAGGGCCAGTTCTTTAATGCTTTCAAAATGTTTTCATATAATCTCACAACAACCCTATCTGGTATTTTTATTAGCTCTATTTTATAGATGAAGAAACTGAGACTAAGAGAGGTTAAGTGACTTGCCCACAGTCACTCAGCAAGGGATTGAATCCAAGATCTGAAGGCAAATCTGCCAGACCTCCAAGCCCCTGAGCTTTGCAGTTCACCACGTCTCCTCCTAGCAGGCTAAGGAGGGTGAAGACTTGGTGACCAAACTTTAGAATGACAACACGAAACAATACAGAACAAACGTAATTATTATTTCACTTCCCTGTGGGTGGTAATTACAGATCTCTTTATTCCAGAAGCAGCACAAGCTAAATCATAACTTAAAGGAGGGTTTAGATAAATCCACGAATAATGGATATACTAAGCACTATGAAGGACGTTTTGTCTAAGTTCTTCTTCAGCTTGGCTGCGTGGAGAACAACCACGCCCTCCCACACAAGTCCTCTGTAGACTGCTCCACCAGTGCTAAGGCACGTACCTGCACAGCAAGTCTCAGGTGCACTAAATGAGGTAAGACAAAGTGAAAGCACCTTAGGACATATTAGTTCTAAAGTGTCCATTCTCTTCAGTCTTCAATTATCACTTGTTATCTACTTGGGTATTAACTTGTGCTACAGACTGAACTATGTCCCCCTCCCCCAAATTCATGTGTTAAAGCCCTAACCCCCAACATGAGATTGTATTTGGAGACAGGGCTTTTAGGAAGTAATCAACATTAAATGAAGGAGGTAAAGATTAAGTGAAGTCATAAGAGTGGGGTCCTAATCCTTATAAGGACTGGTGCCCGTCTAAGAAGAGAGAGAGCTCTCTTTCCCAGCCACGTGAGGACACAGGAAGAAGGGGGCCTTCCACAAGTCAGGAAGAGGACCCTCACCAGGAGAGGCTGGCACCTTGATCTTCAACTAAAACTGCGAGAAAATAAATTCCTGTTGTTTAAGCCACCTAGTCCATGGTATTTTGATATGGCAGCCTGTGCAGACTGAGACAACTATGTTCCCGGTGTTTTCTTGCTGTTACGCTCCTAAAACACTTTAACTTCACACACCTGGGGACACACCGCCCCAAGAGAAAAGGTTTTCTGCACCTGCTGTTAATCCAGAGCCACAGCATGCTGCAAAGCTGGGGGGACAGCCCGGGCCATACCCCCCTCATTCTCACCTTCACCTGGCCTTCTGACTCCCTCCCAGCTGCGTCCTCAGAGCTCTCATACTATGCAGGAAAAACCCAGCTAGTTATCAGTATTTACTTCCACTTTTGTGACACTTCCTCCAACAACCTGGTCAACTCCACTCACCCCACTGCTCTTGACTGGACCCTGCTCCGCCTTGATTCCCTGAAGGGCAGAAGAGCAGGGCCGTTAACAGTATGGGCTCTGGGGTCAGGCTGCCAAGTTTGGGATCCCAGCTGCATTTTTGCTTAAGTTAATATCCCTAAGCCTCAGTGTCCTCATCTGTAAGGGAGAGCTAGGTAACAGCGCATACTCACAGCATTGTAGTGACCACTACATAAGATAATCCATGAAAAGTGCTTAGCAGAGCCGGGCGAATTGAAGCCCTTGATGCGCGTCAGCTATTACTACTCCAAGCACAGCTCCATTCCCTGCAGGTCCCGCCCTCACCGGCCTCCCCTTGCCCCTCGCATTGGTTTCTCGCCTGTCAATCACAAACTGGCCCCGCCCCTCCAGTTCCGGGACGTTTTCCCGCTCCCGACTCGCCCCGCCCCTTTGAACACAGCCGCCCACGCCCCCACCCCGTTTGCGTTTCCACCGGAGTCTGCCCTTTCTCATCTCGCTTCTCCTCGTCCTCAGCTCTGTCACCACGCGGCGGCGCGCTCACCCTTTTTGCCAGCAGGACTGCTTCACTGAGACCAGGCCCCTGAGGAATCAGAACGGAACGTCGCTTAATTTGAAATCGCGCTCCGCTGCGTCAACGTCGGGCCGCAGGAGGAGCGTGCTGCGCTGCCACGCCCCCGCGCCACTGCGCGTGCGCACCCCGGGACTTGAAGGGGCGCGGCTTCCCCCCTCCCCCTCCCCTTTTGCGCCACTGCGCTTGCGCAGGGGGCTCAGGGCCGGGTTTTTTTTCTCGCGCTAAGAACGCTGGAAGGGTCGGACGTTCAGAGGCTGTGGTGAGGTAGCCAGCCGAAGCACAGCTTGTGGGCTTAGCGCCCTGCCTCCCTCTGGCCCCCAGGCAGGTGTAGGGATGTTTGATTGATCCTGCGCCAGTTAGCGCCAAATGTCCTCAACAGCGCTCAACAGTTGCTTCACTTGATCAAATTCGCCGTTGTTTATCAAATGCCCGAGGAAGGAGATGCTGTAGCCAAGAATCAGGAAACCTGCATTGTAGTCCCGGCTCTTATCAGGCCTTAATATGTGTGAACCTAAGTTATTTTACCTCTAAAGTGGAAGGTACCTGCCCTGCCCACCTCAACAGGGCTGTACAGGATCTTCTATGTCTTGAGATCATGTAAATGAAAGCACTCTGAAGACAAGTTTAGGGAATTTTCCTGCTCAGTGCCAGGCACGACCCTGGGGGGCAAAGAAGATAAAGCACCAGCCCTGCCTTCAGGGAGCTCACCTTCTAGTTAGGAGGACAAAACACATCACCTTAACCTCCCTGGACTTGGGTTCTTTGTTCAATGGAGGGATTGGCTACATGACCTCGACGAGCTTTTCTGAAAGTGTATGTCCAATGTGTGTTTTTTCCAACACCACCAAGCAATTAACTCAATTTTGACACTATCTGGAAATAGCGTCAGATCCCACATTAAGGGCTCAGTCTTGTACTACTGACTGTAGAACTTGTAGCCCAGGTTAACACTTCCAATGCCAATCGCAAGTCCAGGTTGTCACCTGTGCTTTTGACCTACCAGCTGTAGATAGGAGGTTCCCATGACCCCATCCTTGGATTCGATTAATTTGCTTGAGAGGTTTCACAGAACTCAGGAAAACATTTTACTTACTAGATCACCAGTTTATTATAGAAGGCAATAACTCAGAATCAGCCAGAGGAAAGAGATGCATATTACCTAGGCACTGGGAAATTCCGCCGGAAACATGCCTGTCCCATAAGAGAAAATATCTCTCTAGAGACCAGATTGCTCCCATCCCCAAGACCTCATGTGCCTCTCTCTGGAACAGTGCAAGATGCACCCTAATAATATTTGTATCTCTGAACCCTAGTTTCTTTGATTACTATGTCCAGTGTATATATTACTTTTGCTCATTAAGCCACACTCTAGTGGGTGTGGGATACATTCTGTTTCCTCACATGATGGGTTGATCTAATTAGTCAAACTGAATTTTCAGGCTGCCCCACTCTCACTGTCTCCATGAGGTATTCAGTGGTGTGTGAAATGGGAGACTAGAGTTCAGGAAAGAGGTAGGAGCTGCTTGTCTGGATTTGACCACCCCTGGGTAAAAGCACTAAAGCTATGATAAGTGGTCAAATTTCTGAAGAAGTGAATAGTTAAAAAAAAAAAAAAAGGAGGGAGGCATCCACATGCAAAAGAATGAAGGCGGACCCTTACCTTACACCATGTATAAAAATTAACTCAAGGGCTGGCCCAGTGGTGTAGCAGTTAAGTTCGTGTGCTCCACTTTGGTGGCCCGGGGGTCGCAGGTTGGGATCCTGGGTGCAGACCGACACACCACTTGTCGGGCCATGCTGTGGCGGTGTCCCATATAAAGTAGAAGAAGATGGGCATGGATATTAGCCCAGGGCCAGTCTTCCTCAGCAAAAAGAGGAGGATTGGCATCGGATGTTAGCTCAGGGCTAATCTTCCTCACCAAAAAAAAAAAAAAAAAAACTCAAAATGGATTTAAATGTAAGAATTAAAACTATAAAACTCTTAGAAGATGGGCCGGCCCTGTGGCTTGGTGGTTAAGTGCGCGCGCTGCAATGCTGGTGGCCCGGGTTCAGATCCCGGGTGCGCATCGAGGCACCACTTCTCCGTCCATCCTGAGGCCGAGTCCCACATACAGCAACTAGAAGGATGTGCAGCTATGACATACAACTATCTACTGGGGCTTTGGGGGGAAAAATTAAATAAAAAAAAAAAAACTTTAAAAAAAAAAAAAAAAACTCTTAGAAGAAAACATAGGGGCCAGCCCCGTGGCCTAGCGGTTAAGTGCGCGCGCTCCGCTGCTGGCGGCCTGGGTTCGCATCCCGGGCGCGCACCGACGCACCGCTTCTCCGGCCATGCTGGGGCTGCGTCCCACATACAGCAACTGGAAGGATGTGCAGCTGTGACATACAACTGCCTACTGGGGCTTTGAGGGGAAAAAAATAAATAAATAAAATCTTTAAACAAAAAAAAAAGAAGAAGAAAACATAGGGGAAAAACTTCATGACATTGGATTTGGCAATGATTTCTTGGATATGATACCAAAAGCATAGGCAGCAAAAGTAAAAAGAGATAAATTGGACTACAACAAAATTTAAAACTTCTGTGCATCAAAAGACTCAATCAGCCAAGTGAAAAGGTAACCTACAGAATAGAAGAAAATATTTGCAAATCATATATCTCATAAAGAGCTAATATCTATAACATATAAAGAACTTCTACAACTCAACAACAAAAAAGAAACCAATTAAAAAGTGGGCAGAGGACTTGAATAGATATTTCTCCAAAGAAGATATACAAATGGCCAAGAAGCACATGAAATGAGGTTCAAATCACTAATCATTAGAGAAGTGCAATCAAAACTACAATGAGATACACCTATTAGGATGGCTACTATTTAAAACAAACAGAAAACAAGGGTTAGCAAGGATGTGGAAAAATGGAACTCTTGTGCACTGCTGGTGGGAATGTAAAATGGTGCAGCCACTATGGAAAACAGTATGGCAGTTCCTCAAAAAATTAAAAATAGAGCTACCATATGATCCAGCCATCCCACGTCTGGGTATACACCTGAAAGAAGTGAAAGCAGGACTCAAACAGATATTTGTTCCCACGTTTATAGGCACATGATTCACAAGAGCCAAAAGGTGGATGCAACCCAAGTGTCCACCAACTGATGAATGAATAAACAAAATGTGCTATGTATGTACAATGGAAGATTATTCAGCCTTAAAATGGAAGGAAATTCTACACATGCTACAACGTGGATGAACCCTGAGGACATTATATGCATTAGTCAGGGTTCTCCAGAGAAACAGAACTAACGGGATGTGTGTATATATAGATTTATTTTAAGGAATTGGCTTACCTAATTTTGGAGATTTGGCAAGTCCAAAATCTGATGCGGTAGGCCGGCAGGCTGGAGACTCAGGGAAGAGTTGAAGTTCAAGTATAAAGGCTGTCTGCTGGCAGAATCTCTTCTTGCTCTGGGGAGATCAGTCTTCGTTCTATTAAGACCTTCACCTGATTGGATGAGGCCCACCCACATTATGGAGAATAATCTGCTCTATTCAAAGTCCACTGATTTAAATGTGAATCTCATCTAAAAAACACCTTCTTGGAAACATCCAGCATAGTGTTTGACCAAATATTTGAGCACCATGGCCCAGCCAAGTTGAGACATAAAATTAACCATCACATTATGCTAAGTGAAATAAGCCAGTCACAAAAAAGACAAATACTGTATAATTCCACTTACATGAGGTACCCAGAGTAGTCAAATTCATAGAGACAGAAAGTAGAATGGTGGTTGCCAGGGGCTGAGTTGAGTGGGAAATTGGGGGTTGTGATTTAACGGGTATAGAGTTTCAGTTTTGTAAGAAGAAGAGAGTTCTGGGGAATGGTTGCACAACAATGTGAATGTACTTAACACTACTCAACTGTACACTTAAAAACAGTTAATATGGTAAACTTTATGTCTATTTTACCACAATTTAAAAAAAAAAAAAAAGAAGGAACAAAGCAGGGAATAACCTTTAAGAGACAGCCACAATGGGGGAGAGGAAGTTGAAAGAATGATTAATTCGAGGAGTAGAAGGCAAATTAGGGCCATCATGGAGCCAAAAGAGAAAATGATCAACATGGTCAGATATAGCAAGGTCAAGGAGGAGAATAACAAGAAAAAATCCCCTGGCAACTTCATGAGAGAGTGTCAATACAGTGGTGTGAACAAAATCACTTTGCAAGGGTTAAGGGAAATCTGAATGATGAGAAGGGTGGAGGGGCAGAAGTCACCATCTGTTCAGGAAGTCTAGAGAGGAGGAGAGCAAGAAGAGAGGGATGCGCGCTTGGAGGTGGAAGAAAAGGAGACAGTGCGAGGAATACTGGAGACATCGGCTCAAGCAGCAAGTGAGAAGGCAACTTCTCCCTCTGCCTTTGGCCATTTTCCTCTCCAGGTAGCCTGACTTGGTCAAGATCCCAAAAGATTCAAGATTAGGGGCCCCATGAAATCTCAGACAAGGTGGGGGCAGCTGTTTTAGTCCAGAATGTGCAGCCAGGGAGCAGTGCCAGGAGCCAAAGATCACGACAGGGTTGGGCGTATCCTGAGAAGTCCAAGCTTGAAGCAAATTGAAGTGAAAGTCAAAAAGCCGAAGGCAGAGTATAAAGCTAGACTGAAGGCCAAGGGGACAAATGCGCACGTATAAAGCATTGGAAGTCTCAGTTCTCAGGTTCAGAAGCTAAAACCAGAGCAGCGTTTCTCCTGTCAAGTCCAACTATCTCACCAACCCCCACCAACCACATTCCTGTCATCCTAAAGAGATGACGCCTCTCTATTGATTCAGGGGACGGTGCCTTACCCTGTTGTATTAGTCAGGCTTCTGCAGAGAAACAGAACCAATAGGTTGTGTATATATACGTATACAGTGAGGGGTGGTGGGGAGAGACAGAGATTTATTTTAAGGAATTGGCTCATGCAATTATGGAGGCTGGCAAGTCCAAAATCTGCAGTCCAAAATCAGGCTGGAGCCCTGGGGAAGAGGTGA